GCAGCTCCGGGCGCGTTTTGGCCGCCGGGCCCAAGCCGGGCGGCGGCGGTGTGGTAGACACGATGCGGTTTAGGTAAATTCCTTCTTTCCGTAAATTCATTCCCGTTTCATCCCGTAATTCATTGTCTGTAGGCGAAGATCGCTGTGTACGAGGGAAGGAATGGGCCAGATGTTTTTAAAAAAACAATGGTGTAATAGCTGGTGGAAAGTCACTGTACAGCTCTCCTGTGCTCTGGCAGGGCCTGAGCTGGGAAAATCCTCTCAGAACCGAAATGGGCAGCGAAGGCCTTCAGCTTTCAGGTTGAAAACTGGGGAAGAAAGAAATGAACAAAGAGGAAGCTTGTATGTGCCTTAGAAGGCAATACAAAATAAAAAAAAAAGTTTGATCCTATATGATAACATACCCTTAAATTAAGTGGTTTTTTAGTGTTCTTTCTGCTTTGGAAAAAATACTCAATGAAAGGGGGAAAAAAAAAAACAAAATGAGTTCATACAGTTGTCTCTTGCTTGGGTGAGTACTTCTTGATGCCTGAAAACAAGGGCCATGTACTTTCATCACCTTATTCAGCAGGCTCTTGTCACTTCCTGGGGGGAAAAAAAACAATTTTTATCCTAAGTGTAGCAAGTAGATTTTCCTCCAGGGTTAGTCCTGGCGTTGTCACTCTTTCAGGAAAAGACAATGCTCATGTTTAGAGCTGATGCCTAAAAAAGGTGGAAATAGGGAGAGATGGGAAATCAAAAACATATGTTGGTTAGGAGAAAATAAAGGAGCTGTGTATGTGAAATATAATTGTATTTCTTGGTTTAAAAAGCATGTTTTCAAGTTTGGGAATAATACATATGAACGTTATTCACATACATTGTTATCATGAAATAAATTCTGTGATAAATATCACAATGTTTGTGATTATCAAATTATTAAAGAAGCCAGTAAAATTCTTAAAGAGCAACACAGTTCTTTAGTAAATAATTGGAAAAATGTACGCCTCTTAAATCTGAATATTTAAGTGTAAGGCTTTATCTTCTGTGGCATGTGTAGTTTGGATTGAATGCTGTTGATTTTTTTGAAATGTAAAGAGTATCTATATAGTAAGTAATTACTGAAACTTCTAGAGCTCTTTACTGTTCTAAGTAATTAAATGTTCAGTTATAAAATTGCATTTCTGTGTATCCCTTTTCTTTTGTTGTTGAAAAAGAAAGTAAATGTTAAACGTGGTTCTTCCAGTGCATCAATAAAATAACTGTTAGGATGAATGAAAACCCTGAACTTACAGCTTGCTTTGAGTAGGGCAGGTCTTTGTACTTTTGCAGATTCAAGACCCCGTTAGATATGCTGCTATGATTGTTCAAAGCTGCACGGTCAAAAAGTTAAAAGGCTGTCATGAATACCTGAATGTCATTACTGCTTCTGGCAACTGCTGTCTTCAGAATAATCCTTTTATTCTTAAACTCTCCCCTACATATTCCTTAATTAAAATCTATGTTTCTGTTTATCAGGATTAAATTTATCTTAATATTTGTCTAAGATTATATAATATTATATCTTAGTAATAAGATATTAACATCTTTGAAAGTAATAAATATTAATATCTTAGAAATATATATTTTTAATTTCAAAGTAGTTTATTTAAACCTTTTCATAGGGCAAGTGTTTACATCCCTTATGAAATCGTCTGATAAAGATCTATGTTTTATAGACATTAGTGGAATAAAAATATATATTTCGTTTTTATTCCAACATCTGTTGAAACGTTAACTGTTAGGCAGGTAGAATTAACTTCCGCTGTAGTTGCAAGAATTTTTGTGAGAAGTTAAAATCTATAATGTTTCATTAGGAAATATTAGTTTTGCTACATGAGCCTATGAAAAGCTTTTGAGGTTGATTAGATTCTCTTAGGTTTGTTTGCTTGTTTTTATAATAGCTTTTCCACGGTAGGCACCACACAAGCCTATGACGCTGTGCAATTCTAATGAATAATAAATAGGTTGCTAGTCCAGGTGCTTTAGAATATGGTTTGCATTCCTCTGGCTCCCATGAGCAGATTTTATTTCCCAAAATGAATGAAAAGTATATTTTAAAAAAACAGTGTTTAAGGTAAGTATTACAGGCTCAGTTTTATAGTGCAGCTCACTTGTACATGGTACAGCAAAAAAACTGTTGTAGTGCAATACAGTGTGATGCAGTGAGATATCCTTTTGGTGGAAACAGTCCATTCCTAGCTCGCTCTACTTCCAAGTTCTTTCCCAAATGTATGGGAAGCATTTGAAGAGAAGCTTAGTGCATGGATAGAGCGATGAACAGGGCGTGTGAAAACTTGAGTTCACTCCACAATCCAGTTTTATATCCCTCCTTCACCTCTGGGTGAAACAAACACTGTTTTTTATATGCCATGTGTGTAAGGGCTGTGGTTTTTAGCTTGTGATTTTAAGGTTTCTGTGAGATTGTCGAATACTCGTGAAGGGTCTGAAAAGTAGCAGAAAGAGGCCCGTTATCACTAAACATGTGATCACTGTCTAAGGATTTCTTTCTCGATAGCAATTTCTGTAGGGTTCCACAACCGGAGGAAGGCTGATGTTACTGATATAGATCCTTTCCAGAGCCCTTCCCTGTCTTTCTAATATATATTAACTTTTGGCTCAGGAAACCCCTGTGCTGAAAATAGGAGCTCTGGGAAAGGATTCAGGGAAACTACGGTGTTCTTGTCATTCTTTTGTGAATGTTTTCTTTTGATCAATGGTGGAGGCAAGATACTGCGCTAAACTGGGACCTTTGATCTGACCTAGTAAGGTCGTTCAGATGAAGCATCATCTAGGTACTTCCCCAGTACAAATCATCGCATCAGTGGAGGCAAGAAGTTGAGATACACTTACGTTCTGAGGGTGGAGCATAAAATGGGATATAAGAGAAACTACAAAGTAGAATTCTATGAATTACACTGTAAGGGTGAAGAAGCAGCTTTCCGATGAGGTCAGTGCAATGCAGAAGCTTGTGAAAAAGTAGATGTGCTAAGGACATACATAGTTAAAACATTGGTAAGGGAAGATGAGCAATCATAAGATAGAACGAACTGGAGGTGCTGAAACGGAGGAAGGGCAGTAAGTGAGGGAGAAGCTGCCCTGGGATTGCCAGTACTTGAAGAGATGGAGAGTGATCTGTGGTTTTGAATTTCATTTTACAATGTAGTAGACTTTAACGTAAAGTTTTGTAAAGCTACCTACTAGCTAGGTATTTAAGCTGTTAAGGTTGTAGCTACCAAGATAACTCACTGTAGTGCTACAGGATGGAAGGGGAGATGGGCCTTTCTTTTACCTTCTGTTTTAAAAAAAAAAAAAAAAAAAAAACTCACTTCAACTGTACCCGTATAATAATAGCTTCTTTGTGTGTTAACTGAAGTCCTACAAGGGATACCCTCCATGTGGGCAGGAATAGGGACTACGTCCATAGGGGAAAAGGGTGTTAACATACTCCAATCTTTCTGGTAATTATTTTGAGAACAGAGTTTCAGTGTGCACCAAGAAGCAATCTGGAATGAGCAGAGCTCCTGGTTTTGGGTTGTTCAGGACTGCAGATTGTATTTGCGCTGTTTCAGATGTGAAAAGTAGCTGATTAACAAGAAATCTTGTAGTGCGAGGTAAAGTTTCTGCTTCCTTCCTTGCTTTATATTGCTTGGAATAATGCGTTGAGAAATCTTATTGCATAAAATAAGTTCAGTTTTTAGGTCTGACTAATCTGTTATACCCTTCCTTCTAAAGCACTGTTCTTAAATTGGCATTAATTTACACTGAGGTTTTTAAGGTACTTAGGGCTTTACTTGGAAATTGCTAATCTATTTTTAATGCTTTGATAGACCTTGCAAAATGTCCAGGATGATACCTACATTCTTGTTTCAGTTTCTGTTCTAAATGGGAACTTTAAATTCTAACGACAGAAAGTTGAGGATGATTCGTCACTCGAGGTATTTCATTTGCTAAAAGGATTTGTTATATATCTTTCATATAAATATACTGAAGAGCTTTGCTCTAAATATAATTTTGATTGCATTAATGCTTAAAAGTATTACATAGTAGCAGAAAAACATGGCTAACAGTGTTTATGCCGTCAGTGAGGAGAAACTGAAATGACCTTTGATTCCAAAGGGTCTTTTTTCAAGGCAATGGAAATAAAGACCAAGTCCAAGATGATAAACCGGAAGATGACTGGGAAGTGTGTTTGATGACTACCAGGAGAGTTTATTGAGTGTTTTTTAAGCCTAGGCTACTTAATTTTGATAGAGAAGTTGGATGGATGTAAGGTGAGAGAAATAGTGTGATTATATTTTTTAGAGAGGTTATGGAGAGAGAAGAGAGACCAACATGAATATTTTCTCTGATCTGCTTATTTGCAGGGAGTGATTGGTAGGTGTAGCTGAAGAAACAGGGACCTAAAGCTGCCAAAGGAAATAGGAGGAGCGAAAAGAGATTTTGATACCGTGCTGAAAGCTGCAAACAGATGAAGTAGGGGAGAAAAGGGTATGTGCATCATTGAATCAGTTTGGAAGTTCAGTTGCATGTGTTAACGAAGGAAAGCTCGATTGGATACATAATAACTGGACAAAGAAAACTTAACACGAGCTTTAGAAATATTGAAGCATCAATAGTAATTGTTTAGGTGGGAAAACTGGAGGGAAGTTCTTGGATGGTTCTTATCTGCACAGTTCAAATAGAGTATTTCTATAAAAAGAATGTTTGAGTTTGATTTTTTTTTTTCTTTAGGTATTGTAAAACATCACAGCTATCTGTGTAACCATCATAATAACAGTGACAAATCATATTTGGTATACCTTATTTATAATACCAATTGTATTTGGTATACCTTATTTATAATTTTCTATGTTTGCCTCAGAGACCTTGAAAGGACAGAGAGAACTCGATCAAGGGAGAAGCTTGCTGAGCGTTCTGTGCTACCTGTGAGTTACAAGTTTCAATTTCGTTTGATACATAATAGACCTGAATCTAGAATGTGTCTTTGTAAATGAAATAAACCAAGATAAAGTTTCCTTTTCCCTTGACAAGTAAGTTGTGCTCTTGCATTTTAACTTTGACAGCTTCAACACAGTTTAACAGTGTTACGTAAGATCTCTTTTCCACAACCTGTAGTCAAAGCCAGGATCTGTTCTGGGTAAACTTGAAAACTTTTTTTTTTTTTTTTGTCTTTTGCCATGATGGCAGCCAGAAAGTTAAATAATTCATCCAAACTGGCTCTGTACCACACAAGATCTTGTTGGTTTATGCCCTAAAAGTCAGAAAATGCAGGGTTGCGTTTTAGGAAACAGCTGTGTTTAATTTGGGTTACTGGGTTCTTTTAATATAGTTATTTATATTTGCTTACTTTTAAAAGGCATGTTCTTTTAAAGATTAGGTATATGTTGCGTATTAGATATCTAATATTGCTGCCTAGATTTTCTCACTTTTAATTCTGTTAAAAAGTGGTTTCCTGGTCTTGAAAATCCCGGCTACAGGATCTAGGAAAACACAGCTTCTGAAATGTCATCGCTCAGCAGTGATTGCCCACACTTGGAGTCAGTTGGTGAGATAACAAAAGAGGAACTGATACAGAAATCTCATGTGAGTTATAGCATTGCTTCCTTCCTATCAGTTAATGCTGTGACTAATTTTAGCTATATACCTTGTTGTGTGTTACTATGCCTAAAATGCAGTTAACTGCTAAATGTGGGTAAAACATTTTATTCCATCTTCAGTACTGGAATAGGAAGGTTTAAAGTGGGGGGAAAATTACGGACCTGATAAAAACTGAAAAACTATTTTTCAATATGTAACATTTAAGAGGGCTTTCCCAGCAATTTTTAATCTTGTTTTCCCAAGTGGGTGATGCTTTAATGGAAATATTGCTTATAGGAGATAGTAAAAACCCAAGTAGATCTATTTCATTTTCCATCAAACAATGCCATTGTGGCAGTTATTTATTTGGAATGTGAATGTAATATACTCTAGCTGATGTGACTTCAAGTAGAAAATGTAAGAAAAGCATTTAGGCATAAATTTTTGTTGGCACTCGGTTCACTTCTTGATTGAAGAACCGCAGTTTGAGAACTTGTCCTTATCTGAACTTTTGTTTTCTAATATTAATGAAGAGAACAAACAAAAGATCCTGCAGCCTATTTTAGTAGCTGGGAGGTGATGGAGAAAGTCAAACTTTTTCTGTCCATGGTGCTAAGTGTCTTAACTGAAAGTGTAGGTTATCTTGGCTTGCTGCTCTGTATAGCGTTCATCTAGCGTTTGTCTAGTGTTGCATCTTTTTTTGTAGATCTTTGCAGATAGCATTGACTAAAATAGGAAAGTGCAGTTATTACAAGTTCTATCACTTTGATTTCTCTTCATGTTAAATTGATGCCCAAGACCAGTTTTGGGGATCTTGATGTTAATATGATATGAAATATATTTATGCTTTTTTTAGAAGAGCACTTTTGGTTTAAGATGAAAACTCTGTAGTAAGATGTCAAAAACTAAACTCTACTCTTTTGCTAGAAAAATATGCTCGTCTTAAGATTAAGTGAAACAACTTGAGTTGGTAGCAACCCATTCTTTGAACTGTTCTGAAAATTACTCAGTTGATTCCTAGGTTGTTTTTTTCCTCGTTTTGTCTTTGAGTTATGCTTCATTGGTGAAAGTAAATGAAATAATACTTTGCTTATGTGTTAAACTTAACAGGGCACTTGTCAGGACTGTAAAGTTAGAGGACCCAACCTGTGGGCATGCTTAGAGGTAAGTTGGTCTGTTGTTCCATAGTAGATTGTACTTCTCTAGTAAGCTTTATCTGAAAATTGGTAGTGCTTTTGAATAAACAACTGTAATGAAATTCTTTCAATAATAACTTAAAAAATTAAGGCAAAATTTCTTGTGCAATTTTCTATTTCTAAAATGATTTGCCTCCTAATATCAGATACAGTATTTTTATATTACAAGAAAAGCGTGTTTAAAATGAGATTTTGGATAAGAAGCTAGCATATTAAAGTTCTTCCTTGAGTTAAGATATTTTTAAGTTCTTAAGTTTGTTTTTTTTGTCCTTGGTCAGTAGATCTGAAGATAACTAAATGCATCACTCCTGAATGAACCGGCTACTTTTGAGGTTCTCTTACAATTAGTAGTAATAACATCTGCTGGCAGTAAATGTTGACTTTGAGTGTAAAAATACATACTGCTACTTTTTTGTCCTTAATCAAAACAAAGAAACACCTTACTTTGAAACATGAATAAACATTCTTCAAACTTTTCTTATTTGGGTACAGTCTTTACCCTGTGTGTAGTTCCTTCCTAACTATACTACTGCTTTACTCTTCGTGCCGTCTACAAAAACCCACAATTTTGTGTTTAAAAAAAAAAAAAAGAGGGGGAAGGAGGAGGAAAGGGGAGCTCTGAAAATATTACTTCTGATAGATCTGTGATGCCAACAGGAAAGTGTGTACCTCGATCAGTTTTTAAAAAGTCTTATGAGTTCCTCAGGCATACAACAGTTTCCAGAGTTTGAGATTTTGCTCTGTAGGTGTGGCTATGTTTCTTGACAGCGCTTGTCTAAGTCCTGCCAGAGGGTGTCTAGGCTGCCAACCTGTAGATGTATGAGTATTTTTAAAAATTTACTTCAAGCTCTTCCCTCAAGTGAATTGTTGTAACAGTAAAGAGATTGGATTACTTTTCCTCTTCTATCAATAAAAGATTAAAAAAAAAAAAAAAAGGGAAGGGGGAATAAACCATATTAAATATCTTGTTAGTAGACAGCTTAAAGTTTGATTAGGTTTAAAAGCCTTTTCTGGAATAGGAAGATAAGTGGGAAGAAGTATTGAGGAGTGCATGAAGCTAGCAGGTGGGGAAAAAGCTATGAAACTTAGAGCTTTTTTTGCACCTTTTTTTCTTTTTTTTTTTTTTCCACTTAGGGCTCTTGAACTATTATTGAAAAACTTAATTTCATACCAGCATTCCCATAGGACAGTTTTATAATTGCAGTAAGTCACTTAAGTGTCACACTGTGTTATATCTCCTCTTGGATGAATTGGCATCTTGCCTTCACCTTTGTGTAGAAAAGCAACCAGCACATGGTGAGATCCCAGCATGACAAATATTTGTAACTTAACAATCGTATGTGATATTTTAATACAGAAAATTTACTGTATGTGTCCAGCTGCAATTTGACTATATAAATTAATGTGCTAAAAGTTACACAAATAACATGCTGTACCCTCTTCTGTGAGTGCCTTTAAGGATTAATGAAAATAGTGATGTGTAAGATTGGCAGCTGCAAGATTTCATGGTCAACTCAGCCAAATACGTTTTGCAATTAGAACAATTTAAATCAACAGTTACTTTGCATGTTGTAATTAAAATATAGTAAGTACTTAACCCTGAAGTGTTGGATACCATTATTTAAAGATAGAAATAAATGAATTGTAAAGTCATACTTTGGTCAGTGGGCAGTGTGGGTGTCAGCATACAGGCATTTTTGTATAAATGTGTTATGATTAAAGCCTGTTGCAATTCAGCGTTTTAGATATTGGATTAACTTTGTATTTTCTGTCAAGATCTCTACTAAATCATAGTTTGTTTAAAAAAAATCAAATATATTGACCTTAATCTGAATGAAAATATTGAAATGGTCAAAAAATTGTATTCCAGGAGCATTAAATGTCTAATGCTGTCCACCAGTACAAGGAGTTGAATTAAATCTTGCAGCATTCTTAATTTGCTTTAGATGGTATTTATTTTAACATTTACTGTGTGTGTGTCTCTTGGTTTGTGTAGGACTCTGCAAGTTTGAAACAGAGTGAATTTAAAAGGGCCTGGCATTATGTTCCTACTGTGTAGATTTGTTTGATACCACTCTTTGATTCTATATAATTTTTTTTATATCTTGCTAAACAGGACAGATGTTCGTATGTTGGCTGTGGTGAATCCCATGTAGATCACAGTACCACCCATTCACAGGTATGTGTATTTGCTAGTAACATGGTTGCTTGCAGCAGTGGAGTAAAATTAGAGAAGTTTCTTCGCTCTAGCTAGTGAAGTGAATAACCTGTATTAGCACTAACTGAGTAAGATTTTGTTTAGCTGTTAATGTTTTAAATTTATAGGAGCAAGTTTTTTGAGGCTTGTGAGTTTATAATCTTTGTGCAGATGTGTAATTTATGTAATTCTGACACTATTATATTCCATAACAGAACAAGGTGAAATAAAAAAAAAAAAAAATCAACAGATAGCCGTGAGCTTTTAAGATGTAGGGTTTACGTGTGGACAAAAGACCTCCAAATAGGTAGTGCTTCAGCTTTAGTCCAACTTTTTGGAATCTTGGCTGCCTGATGGATAAGATCAACTTCAGTAAAACAGAGTTGCAGTGAAGTTTTTGAAGGGGCTTCCTTTCTTGCAAAGAGAAGGAAAGTTAGGTTAGGAAGACAGGAAGTATAGACTACCAGAATTAAATGCCTTGTTTCTGCACAGTGCTCCCTGTTTCACTAGCTACCCCTGAAGACAGTATATCTGCTTGTTGAGCATATCCTCTCCTGCTCAGTGCTTATCTTGGATTCAGCTTGATAGGAGCAGTGGAGTGTGTGCACTGTGTTCCCAGCATGGCAAGTTCTGGCAAGGCTGGACAGCTTGAGTGCATCTGTTTGGGTCATAAACTTGCAATTTGTTCTGTGCACAAAACATGTGCAAGTGGAACATGTGCCATAATGAAGCAAATAAGCTGCCATTCTCTCTTTGCGAGTATGCTGGAAATAGGGGGATGGCAGTCTTGACATGTCTTTTCGGAATCACTGACTTGCTGACTGAATGGACTTCTAACCACCAATTTACAGTGGTGGTAAGAGCAGTATCATAGAATGGGTGTTGAAAGCTCCACACAGAGCACGTTTCCCTCCTTTTTAGTAAAAATACTAAAAAGACTAGTAAATGATTAAAATGGACAAATGATATACATTGGGTTTCTACAAGGAAAAAATATGCTTTATGACCATGTTTACTTGATTTTTTTTTTTTGAAACAGAGCCTTAAAGGGATACATATCCAATATTAGATTAATAAAAATCCAGACTTTTTTACTAGCTATTGGAGCTGAATCACAGGTCTGAAGCCTTTACAATAAATATATGAACGAGCTGCTTGAAGTGCAATTGGGGAACAGATGATCCCTGAATTTATTGACTATAACTTTATACCTCTTGACTTTCTACTGTAGCTTATTTCTGCTTCTTCACGTGCTCTTTCAGCAATGTTATGTACTTGCCATGTAAGAGGCAAGGGATTGGATAGTTTTACTTGCAGTCTGTGACGTTTGTCTTGATTTTTCTTGTTGCTATCCAGTAATTAAAATTAAGTAAGCCCTCTTCAGAATACTGTTTTTGACTTGTTTAATTCCTCACGTGTTTACTGGTTACCTGTTATTGATCTTTATTTTTCAGTAAAAATCTCTAAGCTCTCACTAAAATGGGAGAAACAAGGTTGACATGAATTGGTTTAGTTTTGGTCACTCCAATTCCTACCAGCAGGGTTCTCTATGCTGCAAGCGATCATGTTCTTTTTCTTCAGTTTGAGAAAATTATAAGCTGTTACTCTGGAGGCATGTAATTGCTTATGCGACTGAAGCTGCAGAATCGGGCGTATTTCTTATAATCAAAAAAACTGCTTAAAGTATCTGAAGCGTCTGACAATTTTTTGTAGAGGAAGAGCTGTGTAATGAAATTCTACCCCACATCTTATATTTAAAAACATTGTTCTTATATAGGGCCTTATTAAATGATGGGAGGGAGAAGTTGGACATCCTGCAGCAGTTGTAGAATTTTCCTAATATCTAGCAGATGCCTTGTTGCCTGCAAACCTAGCTGCTGCTGCTATATAAAAGAGATGCTGTTAGGATTGGGGAAAGTCTTTGGAGGATAGTAGCAACTGTAAATACAATCTTACAGTAAGCAGTTTAATAAAAGGAAGATAAAGGTTAGAAAGGTAAAAACATTCTCAATTTGAAGTTTTTACGTAGCTCAACAGTATGACACTCGCAGTAAGAGAACTAATCGAGTCTAGAGTGAGTATTTGTTTTGATGTAAACAGCTCTTGTAGGTGAACTAAAACTCTTATTCATCTTATTCTTTTGATTGTTAAATGGCCAATAATTTAAATTTCCTACAGCAAAGAAGTAGAATTAAACACTAACCGTATTGTTGAGGAGGCTGTCCTTATTGCCATTCACAGACATTCCTGGAAAATTGATTTGTTGTGTATTTTAACACTTTTGACAACAGGCTCTCTTATTTTTGTAATTACTCAGAGGCATGGCAGATATGACAGTGGCTTACATTCTGATTGTACTTGGTTGCTAGTCCGAGTGACTCGTACTAAGTGTTGTCATTAGTGCTAAAATTTCAGTAATTTAACTGCTAATATTTTTGTAATATTCTAAGATGTATGCATTTCTCTCGTTGTTGAAAGATTTAATAATAATAGCGTTTTAATAATTCTGTTCTAGCTTGCGTGTAGCGGTGGTATTCCAAATTTCTGAATCACAATGTTGCCTTTTGTTCTGTTTCAGGAAACAAAACATTGTCTAACTGTCAACCTTACTACACTCCGTGTTTGGTGTTATGCCTGTAGTAAGGAAGTATTCCTGGACAGAAAATTTGGATCTCATTCTCCGCTACCAAATGCGAGACTCTCTCACCAAACACAAGAAAATACTGTGCAGGTATTTTAAAAACGGCGACATATATAGACAGCTGTAGCTTTGCAGTAAAGTATTATTGTTTTTACATGTTTTCTCTGGAGTAAGAGACTGACTTTTCCAACCTTCTTTTGTCTGTGGTTTCTACTCATTTCCCTATATCTTCATAATGCTTCTCTGAAGAGACAGTGCCCACCCCGTGTTCAGTGTCTGCGTACTGCATGCTTCGAAGAATGCTTTTTTTGATTTTGCTCTATTTTTAAATTGCGCTTTTCCTGTACCTTTTCAATTTATTGTCAATGTTAAATTTAAGGCTGCCAGGTTGGAATAGTTCAGCTGTGCTTCTCGTTCTGTCAGCTCTGAAGTTTCTTAGTGACAAAGCTCATTACATCAATTACTGCCTGACTTGCAGGGAGTAGCAAAATGCTTTAGTATGTGTTTATGGATATTTGCCTGAGGGTACAAAATACAAGCACTGTGTTTTTAGAGAAGTATAGGCTAATTGTTAACCGTATTCAGCTGGTAATAAAGATACTTAAAGGAATTCCTGTTTCTAAGTTCATAACTTGTCTAGCTTTCAATTTCTGTAACTGTCTGAGAAGGTCTTGATTTGTGTGTGTGTGTGTATGTATGGGTGTATATATACGTGTGTGTGTGTGAGACAGAAATTTTCAGTGGAACAGTATATCCACATATGCTCCTATGACTGGTTAAGAGTTTAACTACTATGCAAAACTTTCCTACGAAGGCAGTAATAAACTCTATATTCTATATGTGTGTGTAATTTTGGTGTAGCATGACATACACATTTTGTTAGCCTAACATGGAAGAATATATATCAAACTGGAAGTCATGAGAAAGTTGATATCACTTTGTAACATTTAGGCTTGCCAAGGAGTAAAAATATGCCAAGGAGAAGAATATGGCCAATATCTGGAAATATAGTATTAAAGTCAAGTAAAGTACAGGCCTAAAACTGTAGTATTTTATGCAATTATTATATCAGAGAGGAAACTTTAAGTGCTTAACTCTTCCTAGCTCCACGTTTATTAACAATTAAACTAGTAACTGAAGAGTAAGGCAATGGATGAAAAGAATTAGCTAACACTGGAGACAAGGAAAAAAAACTAAGCAAAGCTGATTTTATACACAACTGAAATATTATAAATGTATATTTGCTTGTCTTGTGTTCTACAACTTGAACAAGCGTACTGTTAGTTTGTCTTAATCTTCCAGTTACTGGTTTTTTGCTCATGTGGCAGAATTAGCATGATATGTATATCCGAAAAAGATCATTATAGCTTTAATGAATGTACTTATAAAAATAACTGTTAGCTTGGTTAAAATTGACACAAACAGCAGTGAAGCATTTTTTAATGTCTTGCTCTTGCTTTGGGCATAGAGCTGTGGGAAAGATACTGTATTGTGTAAGTTGTATGTAGGCGTCTTTTTGGAAAAATAGAACTTGTCAGAGAGGGGCAATTTTTCAATATGATGTTTAAAACGTATGTGGAGGGGAAGCTACTAACTTTAATATTAGATATGAACATAATTTGATAATTTTCTCATAAAACGTCAGCTTCCCAATTGTAGTAGTACTGTTGGAATATACATTTTTAATTCCTGTTTACCAGAAATTCTGAGTTAATATAAAGCGGAGTTCAGACTTAAATCTGTTCTGTTCCATTATACTTATCTGTTTTAGTCTTCCAAGGAAATAAGTATAACGCACAGAAAAATCAGTGGAACTCGGTCTGTCTCCTATTTTGATTAGAATTTCTGTTTATGTGCTCACAAGAAGAATTTGTTGGGCAATAAATGTTTGCCTGCCTAATACTCTGTTTCTCTGTTTATAAATTTTGCTTCCAGCAGATCTATTTGTCTATGCTGAATGTAGTGAGATGTCTGGTAGCAAATCAAAAGCACGTATGTTAACTCTTATGTGATGACGGCTGTGTTAATGTTACGATGCTGGCTTACTGTTTGTTATCAGAGGGAAAGATATAATAACTTGTTCTGTTTTGACTCTCTTGTTCAACTGTCTTCATAAAATAGTGCAATGTTGTCACTGCTAGTCTGAAAACAAAAATTCGTTTTTTGTAGTAAATTTTGTTAGTGTAGCTGTGGAATCCTTTTATCCTTGCTCTATGTGAAAGGAGCTTTCCAAATGCAGTCACATCATTTTTAGTTCCTAATTTTTTGGCAGGATTATGCTAAAGCTGAAGAGGTGGAAAAAATATGTATGAATAAAAATACTTTTTCTTTTGATAAGGACTTTAAAATACCTAGTAATCCTGTACTGAAGATTCCGCTAGCAGCTGTTTTTGATGATCTAGATACAGAAGTGGAAGAAGATGAGTTAAAGACTAGAGGTAATACAAGCAAAATCCAGTACTTCATTGCTGCCTTTTATTGTATGTGTATATCTCAAAGACTATTCTCCAGCTAAAAATGAGTTCTCTTCTAACTGGAACTGTTTCCCATTCTGCTCAAACTAAGATCTTTATTTTTAGTTTCACCTTTATTACAGCAATCTTTACTTACCTTCAGAGCAGAGGCTGCGGTGATATATGTAGTGCACCCGTGAAAGCAGCGACAAAAATAAGAAAGCATGTTGGAGTAATGTTTAGTGTAGCTGGTGTTCTAGCCACTCTGGTAAGAGTAGTTTTTTATAAAATCTGTTCTAATGTTTTTCTCCTGTTTTATAAGGTTCCTGGTTTGAATGCTTTTCTGCATTTTGGGTAATCCTTTTACTGTAGTTTTCCAGTATGATGGTTTTTGTTGTTGCTTAGTTTTTTTTTCTTTCCTTCTCAGTAATGGATTTCATGCACTGCCAAGCTTTTTTTGGTATAAAAGTTAACCTAAGCCTAATATTTAACTAGTATAAAGATGAAAATGTAACATAAGAGTGGGTGGAACCCCAAACAGTGAAGTCTTAATTTCTCATTTCATAAGAAAACATCATGATTGTTATTTCTTAGAAATCTCAAACTGGTATTGATTACTTTAAGAAAAGATAGGCATGTTTGAAACTATTCACATTAAAAAGTAAATACATTTCTGAATACTGTTTTCTTAGAAATATGTAACGAGTAGATAAGTATAAGCTGTTGTTCTTGAGATGCCAGTGAATACGTCAAGGCAGTTTGTTTTCCCATCAGTAATAAGAGTTTTCTAATTCATGGATCTAATTTCTCCTTTTTTCATCTACAAGAGTTTTCGCTTCTAAGTCTGCCAGTATTGGCCAAAAATCGTCTTTGCCTCTTCTGTCATCTGGCAGTGTTTCTTGATATGTCTCCACCCCACTTATTCACCATCTATCTTTAAATCACTAAACCACGTATTTTATTCCCAGTTAATTTCTCCTAGCTCTGTGTGTGTCTCTTCTTGTTTGCCTTATGAATGTTTTGAAAATTGAGAATTTCTATGGAAGTAATGTATCAGTAGAATTGTGGTTTACTTCCCAATAGCACTGATGTAAGTATGTCCATGTCTCAAATTTTAAATGAAAATCATCTCCAACTCTGTTTTAACTTTGTTTTGAAATTAAAATTTTATTTTAATGTTTTTGATAAAACGTCTATTGGAAAGCACAATAAAGTAACATAAAAAGTAACACCTGCAGCATATAGATTTAGCCATCAAAAATTACTTAAAACTTGAATCAGTAAATTTTTTTCATGCAAACTATTTGATTTGTGAACCTGCTTATTGAAATCATGCGTATGTGCAGGCTGTAATGCTGCAATGAGAGTGACTTATTGAAATATCTGTTGCTGTTAAAAATACCTGAACTATGACTGTTGTTTCTTTCCCATTTAAGTAAGAACAACTGTCCTTTTTATAGCAGAAATTAGAAGGGCTAATATTGCAGGTTCACTTGTGGGAAGCACAGGACTATATTTCAATTCAAACAGATAATGGAGCCTTCTAAGTCTTATAAATGAAGTTCTGTATGTTAAAAAAATTCAACTGAAATAACCCAAATCTCTTCAGTATTTTTATTTTTTTAACATGTAAAGGGATTTTTTTTTTTTAGTATATTTTGCTTTTCTGTTGTAGACCAAAATGATCAGGTATAGCTCCCGTGTTTTAAGGATTTCATCAAGCCAATGGTATTAATTACTAAATATTCTAAACTTTCCAGTTTTAGTAATTAAGATGATGATTCTGTGGTCATAAATGTTACTGTGTTTTTTTCCACAACAACAATTTTATTTTGAAATTAATTACTTCATTAATTTAACACTGCACGAGCTAAGAATGACGAGTGTTTTTCTTTGAGCTGAGATAGCGTGCTAGTTGCAATTTGTCTGAATAGCCTCTCTTCAGATGTTTAGAGAGTACTTTCAATAACTCTCTATTTACTGAATTAGTTACTAAAATTAACAAATTCTTTCAACTTGTGTATGTGTGGAAAAACTATTTGCAGTTATCAGTAAAGAAAACAAACAGTCTGGATGTGAAAAATAATGCTGTGGGGTAGCATCAACTGAACAGCCTTTATAAAGATTAGGGTATGTTGTCTGCATAGGGGAAAAAAAAAAACCAACTCATTGCAAGTTAATTACATGTAATTCTGGGCTAATTACTCAGTAGATTTGGAACATATAATGTAATCTAACTATTAGCCTGAACTTTAAACAGAAGAATGAAAACTTCCTTTAAAAAGCCTTTGGTAGTATGAATAACTGTTATGAACGCAACATAGAAGGAATTACTTGGACTGGTATAGCATTAATATTATCGATATTAATATTAATAACATATTATCGATATATTAATATTAATAACATATTATCGATAAATGCTTTTTAAAATAAGTCTGCAACTGTCATAAAACATCCCAAGTTAATAAGATGAAGTACAGTCTACTTGTCTGAAGCGTTTTAGTCTGCCAATATCAAAATACTAGTTACTTTTTCTAGACAGATTAGTATTCCCTTAGGAGTCCTGCATTTCTTTTAATTACACCTCTGTGTTCTAATTGGCACAGGTATAATAGAGCAGAGTTTAATTAGTACGTATCTACTAGGAAGTATATTCCTTAATATGTCTTAAGTATTAGATTAAGAGACTTGCTGAATATTAATTATTTTTCAGGTCTTACAGGATTAAAAAATATTGGAAACACATGTTACATGAATGCAGCTTTACAGGCTCTTTCCAACTGGTAAGGAAAACTGTTGTAAATGTAATTTTACGTTGTCACAGATGTACGTTTTCTGAAGGCTGAGGTGTAGATTGTGAAGGGCTGGACTACCATGGAAGAAAACATATTTCTGGTTAAAGCTCAGTCTTGCATACTACAAGCTTTTGTGTTACCAATACAATAAAGTACTATGGAATAAGGATTAGTCAGTTTTTTCCTGTTTCATTCTCATTCCTTGCTGTCCTCAATAAAAATAAACCTAGTTCTAGAAATTAGAAGAAAAATTGATTTTAAAAAAATTGATAAAAGCTCGAATTTCTTCTCTTAACAGGAGAAACCAAAGGAAATACCTAAGTATAAACCTTAATTAGAAATGAGACATGTTAAGATTAGGAGGTCCAGATGCAGAACTTGCAGTCTAGGCATCTGGAGTATTGTTACTGTGCTAAGTCATTCTGGGATTGTCTGGTGTACAAAATCATCTCCTCATTTGGAGATGGTAGACAGGCTCATGAAGGAGAAATCTAAGGCTAAAGAGATGGAAACACTATCCATCCCTGGAATTTCGTGCACCACAAATGGTTAAAGACTAGGACAATACTTAAACGCATTATATATGATTACTGTATGCACCTGCTTTTGCCTGCAGCCCAAGGTAGGGCAAGGTTCAATAGACCTTACTAGGAATATCTGTTCAGGGAGAGGGGAGCTGAAAGAAATATTGATGGTCTAAATTTCTACTCTTCTCTAGAAGGTAGAGAAGTGGCATAAAGCATCTAATCTAAGAAATACCAAAGTTTGCAGATATGCTGGAATATTTCCTTTTTGTCTTATACAGCTTGAACTTATTTTTATATAAGGTGACTTGCACAAAGGTGGGGGGAAAAGTGTGCAAGTTGGCAACACAGCATGAAGTAAACAGGTAAATAATGTAAATGGAAATCATTTACCTAGAAACATCGTGTGTCACTACTGGATGCTAGTGAAAAGATTTTGGTATCTGCTTACAGACCAGGCTTGTGGGGATTGTTGCCATAGAGGTGCATATGTGATAGACAGCCGAATTTGCCTTGAATTTGAATCCCATTGGACAATTCTGATGCTTTAACAAACGTCAGAATATGTTGGAGAAGCGGAGCTGCTTTACCAATGAGGTGGTCCTAATAGGAAACGTTTAGCTACAGCATTTAAGGACCCAGGAACCTGAATTGTTCATTTACCTAATAGTAATTACTCTTGATTAATATCTTGGACAAAGTGTGGATATCCTCTTGTATTTTCACTACTTAAACTGTCATATGTTCTTCTTTTTAATCAGCCCACCTTTGACGCACTTTTTTCTTGATTGTGGAGCTTTAGCCAGAACAGATAAGAAACCAGCAATTTGTAAAAGTTACCTCAAGCTGATGACAGAACTCTGGCACAAAAGCAGGTATTGCATCATTTTGGTGATTAAATGACTATAAATAAAAGCCAGACTCAGTATAGGATGGATTAATCTGTTCTAGGTGTCAGATTTTCCTTGTCCGTATCGCGGAACAGCTCATTTAAATTAAAAGTTTGTTCTCAAAGGACTGGTTCATGCCATTTGGGAAATAAAGGTCCATTTCAGTGGGAAACTTGCATGGAAGAAATGGTGATCTTCAGGGAAGAGCTGAAAGGGTCAAGTTTTTGCTTTAGAAAGGAAAGACTGAAGAGGGTATAAATCCTGCAAATCATAGCCTGTTCTTTTCCATGTCTACCAAAGATAGGACAAATAATTGATAGAGCTTCCTTGCTACAAATTGCATCAAGAAATATATAAATAAGCATTGTACAAAGTAGCCTCAAGTTATTAAAAACAAGCTTATATTTGTAAGAAAAAGATCGCAAATATATAACTATTTTGTCTTCCCTGTCCTTGATCCTGTATCGGTGTTTTGTCAATTGCTTTTCCTTGCATGGAAATGTGTTATCTCTAAGAAAATATTTTAAAAATAGGCTTACAAAACAGTTAAATAGTAATTGTGCATAATGTGAAGAATATATTTGATTCTTCATGTTGGAGACAACTGAATGACTTGAATCTTAAAGGGCTAATAACAGTCCTTGCTATTTCTATCAGATGAGAGATACAAAGAACAATATTTTTGTATTGTTAACAAATAGGCCAACATAACATTGATATTGAGTTAAGATCAATATTAGACATGTCATAGTTCAGTTTCAGGTAAAATTATGATCCCAGCACAGATGGAAAATTCCACTTAAATGCTTTCTTTGTAAATATACGTTTAAAACTTTTTTCATTTAGGCCTGGTTCTGTTGTTCCTACTGGTTTATTTCAAGGAATTAAAACTGTTAATCCAACATTTCGAGGCTATTCTCAACAGGTAAAATTTCTTGTTGTCTTTTATATCTGCCTGAGCCATAAGACTATTTTTTATTTTTAAATTTAAGGCTTAAAACATCATACTTCCTGCATTTATTTAAAGCAATTTCAACATGAACTTTGGTTTATGTGCTTCAAATATAGATCATCTGGAACGGCTTTCAACATTTGAGTCATATTTATATCAGGCTCTGACTTTTGAGAATAATTCCTTTCCCCTCTTTCAGGAAAACTGAAATAATGAGTACCTAAACCTTTCTTATTTGCGTTAAGTAATGCTGCTATTTTCTGAGCAGTCCCAGAAAATGAAATAAAGGTGTTCATAAAAGCAAAGAAGATTATAATGGAATTTTTGATAATCATCTACCAGCTACATTTTTTAATTAACTTCACAGTTAACTAACACAGTACCCATTTTTCATTTATTAGCTTTTTTTTAAAAAAGAAAATCCATGTCTATTTCATATACAGCATTATGGGAACTGTAAATTGCTAAGCTGTTAAGTAGGCATGAATTATTACTTAGCAAAGGCATTCTTTTTATGATATTTCAGGCAATATCTTGGTGCATTGATATAGTTAGCAGCGACTTATTTAAAGCTTTTGGGCAGGAGGAGGAACTTTACTTTTATAATAATAAAGCTTACTATTATCCTTACCAGATTTCAGCAAACTACTGTAATTCAAAAAGTTTGCTGTTTCAGTTAGTTTTAATCCTCCAGTCCACCAATTTTAAACACACTATGTTTTTTGATGTTCAAATGCTGCATATAGCTGTAAAGTAAGTGTTTAAATAGTCATCTCAATATTAATTCATGTGCTGAGTTATTTTGGTGGTTTGGGACAGTTTTTTAATTTAGTTATTAGCTTTTTAAGACTTATTTAACTTTCTGGAAAAATAGAAAATCATCAATCTTGATAACCTAATGGAAACTATATGGAATTTGATTCCTGAAGCTTTAAACTCTGAGTTGAGAGTATTGTTTTTTTCCATGTGTAGTAATGCTTAATGAGACCTTTAGGTTCTGCTTGGATCACCCTTTAGATGTGTTTACTAGTAGGTTTCATGATAACAACTAAAACATAACAGGTCTTATGTAACTCGACACTTTCCTGTGGCCCGTCCTCACAAGTTAGGCAGCCAGTTGGTAAGCTTTGTCCAATCATCAGTGGAAAAAGGAATTATTTTGCTGAATTAAGAATGTTTCCTAGTCAATCTACAACTCAAGTTTTGAGCTGTCTTTTTGTAAAAGCACTGTCGAAAAATAGGCTTCTTGATTTTTTGGGGGGGCTTGGATAATGAAAAAATCTGCATTTGCTAGCTATAATTTATAAGAAAGTAACAATGTGCGTGTGTGGTGTTTTTTTTTTTTTTTTTTAAATTAACTAAACAACAAGAATGTTTGCCAGTTAGCAGTTAGAGCTTAATAAGTAACTGCTATGTTGGTGGGGTGGGTGGGAGTGCTGAGCAGCAAAAGTGATTATTATGAACAACCAAACTGTGAAGAAGAAAATGGAAGCAATAGTAGTTACCAAGAAGAGGCTTTTGTTCTCTCCCATGCCTGCTTTTATTTGATACTCTCTATTCCCAGGAGCCCAGCTTGTGGGTGGATTTTCTTTTTTTTTCTTTTTTTTCTTTTTTCTTTTAAAGTATTACTTCCAAACGCAGATCAAACTGGCAGTGATGTTCCACAGCTCTCTGTGGAAAGACTGATAGTTCTTAGGGAGTCCTGTCCAGACTTGAGAAGAAAAACTAAGATCTTGTTGCCAATATGATAGAATGGAAAGCTGGGATAAATATACCATGGTCCTTTTTAATAAAGTTCTTTTTAATAAAGAACTTTAAAAAGAAAACTTAATAAAGAACTTCTGTGCCCAGTGAAGGCAAGGCTGTGATTGCTTTACTGAAGATGCTGCATAAGGTTTCAAGTATCTGCCCCTAAAACAATCCGTTACCATCAAAGATGGAGTCTGACCACGCTTTTGGTAGTTGCTCGAGTTACATTTATTGTATGCATAAGCCATGGCAGTATTTTTGTTAAAGTTGACAAAAAAGATTGTCAGCAGGACACGTTTTTAAGAGGAAATGTGTTAAGAGTCAGAATTTCTTGTGACACATCAGAAATGGGTGCAGGAAATACATGTTGTCTGAAAACCAAATTTCTTTTTAACTTTAGACTAGGGGCAGGGGAACTTACCTTATTCTTTAATATTTAAATCAGCTGTAGCTTTCATTCTAGTTATTCATATCCTTTTCTGATATGACTTTAACATTTTCCAAATGCAATGGAATAATATTGTAAAACTTATTTAAAATCCTAGGATGCGCAAGAATTTTTGCGTTGTCTAATGGACTTGCTTCATGAAGAACTAAAAGAACCAGTTGTAGAAGTAGAAGATTCCCAGCCGATGAGTGTTGAAGAGAGTATGGAAGGAGACAAGAGCCCATCAGATGTAGGCTTTCAGTCTTGTGAATCCTATGGTCCCAATGATAAATCAGAAAATGAGTCTATCTTCAAACCTATCTTAGAGGATCCTATAGAGACAACTATGTTGATTCAGGATGATGAAAACAGCTCAGTCATGGCCAAAGACTGGCAGAAAGAAAAAGCATTGTGCAACAAGCTTAACCAAGAAAGTTCTATGGAAGACTTGGAAAAAGACACAAATGCTGCTTCAGAAACCACTGAATTTTTAAATAATCAAGGAACTGTCAAAGTACAAATACACGGCAGATTCTCAGGTAATACATTACTAATGTGCAGTTGAAATAGTCACATTCTTAGCTGACATAACTGTGTGAGTGGAAAGGAGTTGTAAAATACAGTAAAGAGCTGTAGGACTAATAGGGTAAGTAGATTTACTTGTAAAAAATGCACCTTCTTAATTTATCTTTCAGTTTAGATGTTTTGTAATCCAGTTTGAATTCCCCTGGAAAGCTAAAGATTTGTATTGGGTAAGCCTTCAAATAACCCAGAAGGCAAGGGGAGGGGTTGTTTTTGCTTTGGTTTTTACTTAATATGTGAATTGTAATCATGCTGCATTTGTAAATGTCCAGTGACCTGCCAGTGTAGATAAATGAACTACGTAACCGTTGTGTCAGTTTATTCTACAGTAAATTTTTTTGCTAGAATTTGAGATAATGCAAGTGTTAATTGCAGAATACATCAGTGATGTCCACATGAATGATCTGTCTGCAGTCCAAAGCCCCTCATCAAATGAAGGGATGAATGCACGCTTATCAAACAGTCCTCCAAAGTCATGCTCATCATGCCCTACACTGGCACCAGCCCACAAAAAAGGTATAGGCCCTTTTATCATCTGCTGACACTGAATTGCTCTGTATTCCAACTTCTGTTTTGTTTCTTGTGTCTTAACTTCTATACAGCAGGCTTCCAGACATGGAACGCTTTCTTCTCTCTTCTCGTTCTGCACTGCTTGTGCATAAGAACAATGCAGCTTTGTTCTTACGGTTTTTGTCCCCTTTCACTGATGGGGAACAGGTCAGCGGTCATTATACAAGCTGGGCATATAATAAGACTCTCTCTACTTTTGTAAGCTTTTGATTGTTTCTTTCTGTGGAAGTATGGATAGTGTTTGCCCTTTTGCTTTTGGAGGGTGGAATAATATTTTTAGAGAACTTTCTCTTTTGCACCTGTTCGGAGGGAGAGGAAACATGAGAGAGGACAGTACCCACAAAAAGAAATAAAAGTGAATGCTTTTCAGAGGAGATGCACACAGGTGTTCTTCAGTAGAAGTTAATAAACTAAAATGCCGATTTATTGAAAGTTTAAGGATCTATGTGTACCTTTACTGTGGGTAGATCAGTTCATTGTAGCTGCTCTCTGGTTGCAATTGTCTGTGCAGTGTAGCGTATTTCTCTTGGCACTTTCCGTGACATGATGTGTTTATCAGACAGCATCCAAAAAGTTTATACTTCTACTGCCTTTGGCTCTAGGACTACGCAGTTTTAGGGCACAAGGAACAAGACGATATGATTTTTTTTGGCTTTATTTGTCTAACAGTAGAGTATTTTAATAAAAGCTCATCATTTGGAACACAATTTTAAGGTTAGCATTAAAAACGACCCTCCCCTTCCTCCCTTCCCCCCCCCCCAGTGTGATCCTCTTTCATTCAACAAATGGTTCAGTTCTGAAAGTGTTTGGTTATCCTTGTGTTGCTTTAACACTGACGTTGAATGAGAAGAGTTCAAATGGCCTTAAGTTACTTCTTTCGATCTCCTTAGTCCATTTGTTTCCCTTTATTCAGCAGTTATGAGACTGCATCCAGTAATATTGTCTCCAGTTTTGGCTTCCCTAGTGCAAGAAAGACTTGAACTGAAGTGAGTCCGTCAGAGGACCACCAAAATGTTAGGTGGCTGGAACCTGGGATGTACAAGGAAAGGCTCTGAGAGCTAGATTTCTTCAGCCTGGAGAAGGGAAGGCTAAAGGGGGAATCCTGCTGTCTTCAACTATTTAATGGATAGTTATAAAGAACACAGAGCCAGACTGTTCTTGAAGCCATACAGCAAATGGAAGGAAGACACAGTTTAAAAAATATATATATATATTAGATGGAAAGAAGAAAGTATTTGAAACGAGTGGTCAAACACTGGAACAGGAGCCCGCAGGTGTTATGGAATATCCATCTTTGGAGGTGGATTTTCCAGTTCAAAACTAGCACTGCTTTGAACAAGAACATACCAGATGATATCCAAAGTTCCCTACTAACCTCAACTACTCTGATTTTTGTCACTTCCTAACAACTTCACTCCTGCTCATACCTATGGAGTACTGGATTGTGATAGATATAGCACATCCCCAAAATCCCTGGTAAGTGGAAGCTTTAAAAGCATCTTAGAGCTGTGTAGTGGCAAAATAAATGGTTGAAAGGAACCTTACAGAATTTGGGGCAAAAGGCAATATAAGGTAGTTTGTGTCCTTGCTAAATAATATACGTATGATGTGTTATGGGAGAAGGGAACTTCTCAGATTACTCCTAACAGCTTTTCTTTCTGTCAGTGATACTTTTTAAATTCAGACTTTTCCATTATTTTTAGATGTTTTTCTAGGTAGGGCTGAGACGGAGGCAGTATCTAATACTGCTGGCCAGCAGAGAGCCATAGGTGTTTGCTTATGGGCACACTGTTTATCTACAAAAGAGCCTTGGGAGGTTGTGTTTTTTGTGAAGGGTCTATTGGAGTCGTTTACTTTCCTTTTCACTGTAATTACTTCCATGTTTTACTGCCTGTTGTCTTACTGGCAGCCAGCAGTTTGGCAAGGTTTGCTTCTGACTCCTACAAGACTTTTGAGCAGTCTCTTGGGTAACATACTGACTTTGGAAGAAGGTTTGCAGTCTTTGTTTCAGTCTACTGTTTTTGAAAACGCAGAGAGCCCAAGAGGCTGCTCTGGAGTGTTTACTTAAAGTGTTTACTTAATTACTTAATTGTTTACTTAATTAGTTTACTTAATGGGAAGGGTTGGGAGTGTGTGTGACTTTGTTGGTTTTGTTTTAATCCGCAACTGTTTAGGTCAGATACTAATTATACATTTAGTCTGCTTGAATGCACTGTCATCCTTGTTGCAATACAATAAGGTCGCGTATGAGCTCTTCTACCCAATGTGGTTAAGGCTTCCTGGAAAAATATGATCAAATTACATGTCAGATAGAATCTACTTATTTAAATTTATGCTTTGGGGGATTACTGCTGAGATTAATCTGATGGTAGTAGGCTGTGGATTTTAAGACTAGCAGTTTGAATTTTAGTCATCTTAAGCAGAGGCAAAATTTTCTAGTATTTGTCCCTATAAGCTGCTTGAGGAACTGAAATGGGTTGCCTGGTAGTAGCGGTAATCTGGTTGTGAAATCTCTGAGAAATCTCTTACTAAAGAGAAAAGGAAGTCTGTCCTATAATTTAATCTTAAATATGTGGCATCTCTAATTATATTATGCAAAGTTCAAGGAAAGCAGAATCCTACTGTGTCTTAAATACTTTCAACCTTTTTTTTTTTTTTGTCACCTTATACTAGTTTCAACTGTATCTTCACCAAAAAGGAAGAAACGCAAGAAGTACAGGAGTGTTATCTCTGACATATTTGATGGAACTATAATAAGCTCAGTACAGTGCTTGACTTGTGATCGGGTGAGTAAGGAGTGGGAGAAGTCCCTTCTTATGTAGAGTGTACTTGTTCCCCTCCCTACCCTGCCAATACAAATGCTTTTGGCTTTAAGGATATAGTCATTCCCTCGTAATCTTATTTCTTGTGGCAGATTTCCTCAGAAAGTAAGGGTGTTTCATGCTTGTTTACATAAATCCTATTAGGAGGTGCTACCAGCACTTTGTATTTAGACTAGCTTTTCGTTCAGCTAGAAGTTAATACAGAGCTGAAAAATAACATTTTGAGTGTTGGTTTACAGCAAGGTTGAAATAAGAAAGTTGCTCTTCAACTTCTCTTAGGCATGATTAGTTTTTGGTAATATTCTGATTTTTTCCTAATGCATACCTGTTACTGTAGTAAGTTGTCAGGTGTATATATAACGTTACAAATGGAAGTAAAAGATAGTTAAATTGTTCTACTTTGTCACTCTTATCAGGTAAATTGAGGCTGAGAAAATTCGGCCTTTTGGAAAGATCCAGCTAAAGGCATTTACTTTTACAAGTGATATGAATCACAAACTAGTTTCTGAAGTTTGGTCTTCTACTGGATAATGTGCTGTGGCACAGGAACAGTAATTTTATTTTCTGTACAGTTTGCTAATAGAGTTGCTTAGAACAGCACAGGCGAGCATTTAGAAAAAAAATAATGATCTAAGCGTGTAGAGAAGACCACATCAGTTTCAAAGTAATAGTATCAAATATTGGATATGTAAACCTTTGTGGGACAAAGGATATGGTTTAATGTTCACCTTATCCTGGTGTAGTCCCTGTTCTTGCTGCTTCCCTTATTTTGGAGCTAATAACGTTGAGACCATAGGTTATCTGGTGGGCAAATGCAAAGTAATTTTTTTTTGTTTGTTTGCTTGACTGTTTTACTCTGACTGTGATCACTAAATCCAGCATGTGAGAAATAAAACGTGCAGCTGGGGGAATAGGCAATCTCTTTGGCAGCTGATCCGGTTACATCAGGTCAAGATAATGTCAAAGTAAAATACTGTCAAAACAATAGGCTAAAGCTTTCTGAAGCTAGCTTGTGTAACAAGAGCCTGGGGCAAAAATCTTAGGGCTTTGTATCACTAGTAGGAAGAAAAATGATTAATAATAGCATAAGAAAATAGCCAGAGCTTCAGTGATGATAATGTACAAGCTTGATCTTGCACACGTGTGCACGCTCTCTCTCTAATCTCCCCCACCATGAACTGTTACATAGCCTAACTGATAACTAGCTTGCCACCTAGTGGAATTTGAGACTAAACAACAGCTTGGTACCTGCTGATGAACTTTACAGAATTGAATTCAACTATTGTTTTTCTTAATTCTTTTCCATTTCATTTGTTCTTTGCTTTAGGTGTCTGTAACCCTGGAGACCTTTCAGGATCTGTCTTTGCCTATTCCAGGTAAGGAAGATCTTGCTAAACTCCATTCTGCCAGTCATCAGACTTCTCTAGTCAAGGCAGGATCATGTGGAGAAGCATATGCACCCCAGGGATGGATAGCTTTTTTTATGGAGTATTTCAAAAGGTAAATGATTTTTACCTTGCTTTATTTATTTATTTTCTTAAAATTCCAGTTTCTGCTCTTCTGGCAGAACATTTGTTGTTGTGTTTTTTTTTTTCTTTTCTGTCAATGATGTTTCAGGTTTGTTGTCTCATGTGTTCCTAGCTGGTTTTGGGGTCCAGTTGTAAACTTACAAGATTGTCTTGCTGCCTTTTTCGCCAGAGATGAGCTCAAGGGTAAGAGGTTAATTACGTTAATATGCTTGCTTTCTCAACTGTGGTAAAAAGATTAATATCTTTGTTGCTTTACACAATTAAGGGAAGGCCACCTGTTAGACACTAATACAGTTATTCCTTGCTTATGGGATCATTCATTTTAAAAAGGTAAGTTTCTCACTCAACTGAATATTGAGGCAAGAAATGCCCATAAAAGCTGCTTTAGAAACGTCAACTGAAACAATTTGGCCCAATGAAATATCGACTGAAGGTTTGTAACAGTTTACTGCTTCATAGTCAAAAGCATAAAACCTAAGAACCTTTTCTATCTAGTTACAATGTCAACATTTATAGCAATTAAATACTGAAAGCAACCTAAAGACAAATTCCCTTGAAATTTTCACGTAGCTGATGTATGTACTTGAAGGATAACTATTTGGATGTAGAGAATAATGGCTATTTTTCTTTTCCCTCATGTTTGCAGGTGATAACATGTACAGTTGTGGAAAGTGTAAAAAGTAAGCTGGCTTTTACCTCTGTTTTAACTTGTTTTAATTTTTTGCTATTAGTCAAGAGGCACTTATTTCTCTTGAATTATGTCGTAGTACCTGTAATCTTTCGATGGTACCTTATGCTTTGGCTGCCACTGTTAACAAAGCTGCAGGAGTCAGGAAGTACTGACTCGTGATACTGTATTATAAACTAAATGTGATTAATTATTTTGGTCCAAACAATTATAGACCATTCTAAATGCTTTTGATCAAAATAAAAGCTGTTTACCCTTCTATAGTACTAGCAGATTTTCATGAAGTTGCAGTAAGCCACTTCACTGGCCTAAAAATTATGCTATGGCTTTAATAAACTAAAGAAGCAAGAGGCAGAAGGGTTCTGAAGACTGCTTAAAGCCCTATGTGGAAAAGGAGTATAATTTGTTGCTATATAACTGATAATATGTTGTAGGTAATTTCTTAAGAAGAACTTAGTTGGGTGTCGTTTCCCCCTGGCCAGAATAATTGGCTTTCATGAAGCTTCAAGTTTTTTTTCTTTATGCTAGGGAGAAACTCTTAGCTAGATGGCACTTAATTATCTGTAGCTATTGCTTTGAGTTTTTCAGCAGAACAGATTCTTTTCTTCCAAAGCGTCATTGTTTGTATAATTTTGGCTACTCCGTGTCTAGTCTGCATTCCAGAAATATTCTGCATTTACAAATTTAATGTTCAGCTTAGACTTTGCCATCTCTCTTGCTGATCTAGCACAACGAAACAAAACGTTTTTTGAACTAAGCATTTATTTGTTTTTCTTTTACTTAGGTTAAGAAATGGAGTTAAATTCTGCAAAGTTCAAAAATTTCCTGAGGTACTGTTACCACATGCACTTTAAAGCACTTTTTCTGCATGATTAGGAATGTGGTGAGGCTAATAAGTTGCGCAGAGTAAACTGTGTTCATAACACTACATGATGAAAGCTTATCTTCACATTTATATTTGTATTTTAAGAATGTGAGCAATATTTGATTATGTACCCTAGAAGAAAGTGAACACTCATAATGAAAAGTAAAGTTAGACAATTTTTTTTCTGTGTTGTTATTGTCAGCCTGCAGAACTCATTTCCAAGTCTGACTATAGTATTTAATTCTATGTATGCTATGGCATAAATCTTTTTGACGTGTAATGCTTTGCATTTTAAGAATAATCAAATCTTACCCTTCAAAACATGAACTGATAGCTGCAATAATCAGGAGGAATTACTGTCCCTCATGACAAGATTGTGCAATAGATGCATTGAGGAAGAGAAAAGGTATGTCCTTCATTGCTGCATTAGTGTTAATAACTGCCAGGGCTGTCTTTGACACTGTCAATATGATGAGTCCTTGAGCAAATTTCTAATTCATCTGTAACTCCTTGAGCCACAACTGATTGGTGGAACACAGCTCGATCAGTTACCTCATGCCATAGAGAAAAGTGAGACTTTTAGGATGATGAAAAGGTGTCATGTACAGTATGGTTATCAAGTAGTAGCATGTACAAGTCTTGAGTCTACTGGTTCTTCTTACAGATATTGTGCATTCATCTCAAAAGATTTAGACATGAGCTTATGTTTTCCACAAAAATTGGGACTCATGTATCCTTTCCCCTGGAAGGACTTGATCTTCAGCCTTTCCTTGCTAAGGACAGTCCAGCTCAAATAGTGACTTATGATCTGATATCTGTCATCTGTCATCATGGAACTGCCAGCAGTAAGTATAAGGCTGATGGTTTTGCATTTGATATTCACGTAATCACTTTTGTTTAAAGATAGTGTGTATGTGGTGAAGGGTAAGTAGATAAGCAGTGCTAATTTTAAATGTGAATAATTTTAAATGCATTAGGTTCTTACGATTTTAAAGGTAAAAATCCCAGAAGGCTTGCTCTTAAAAGGTTGACGTGTCTATGAAATTATACAGTGTTGGTAAATAAAACTGCAATCCAAAAAAATTCACAGATCCTGGAATATTAAGCAAGTACAAAACTCCTACATGCCCCCCTACTCCCTGAAAACAACAAAAATTCCTCCAGCTATTCCCCCTGCCTCTTACACTATTGAAAGTAAACAGCGTGAATGTATAAACATTAGTTACGTCCCAGCAGATGATCAGCTGGTCTGCTACTTTCCATAGCTGGTGTATGTCTAATTTTGGATGCTTTATGTTCCTTACTCTTGTTGGTAGAGTTCATGAAGCACCACAAAGATACCAGTAATTAAGGAAGGGGCAGGGAGGGAAGCTCAGATAATATGTGCTAGTTAACTCCAACATAGGCAATAATTGCTATTTATGTATAATGATGACTGGCTGAAGAAACTTCTTATTGCTGTCTATCAGGCTCATTTCTGCCCACATGCTTTCAGTATTTATAAGATCTGTTAAAAAGGAGAAAAGTAAGTTTGGAGACAGAAGCCTGAAACTTCATGGATTTTTATAAAAAGTACCCGTCCCTGAACTGAGGTTCATTGTTTAGATGAAGTTGTTTTGCCACTGCTTTTTCTGAATGTTGTCTCATTGTCTGTTTAGTGCTTGATGAATGATGCTTCTCTTAATCAGTTTAGTAGGTATTTGATTAGTTATTGTCAGTTGAATCTGTATTTAAGAAATAATAATTTAAAATATATTATGACTAGCAGAGAACTGCTAAGTATGGTCTTGTTATCATATAGCAGTTACACAGCTGTGCTTATTTCTATTACAAAGCATACAAAGACCTGAAGAGTTTGTTATAGAAACTAATTAGGGTAAATTGTTCAAGCAGCCTTAGTCTGATTTGAGTTCCGTGAGGAGCGTGGTACGCTACAGGTAGTTTGAAGAGCTCAGAGTATGCTGAAAGCTGTGTCCAACTCTTCACTAGCTGATAAGAGTGTAGAAGTACTTGATCCTGAATTTGAGAGAAGTTAATATGTATATGCAAGTACTGTCTGTGAGCGGTTTCAAGTTTTTCCCTTTTAAAAGTCTTTTGGTACTTAGTAGGCAACACAAGGAGAGGAAGTAAAATCGGCAGCTATGAACGTTTTCTGAATAACTCTTGCCTTCTTGCCACTCTAGGTGGACATTATATAGCTTATTGTCGAAACAACTTAAATAATTTGTGGTATGAATTTGATGACCAGAGTGTCACAGAAGTATCTGAATCCACTGTGCAAAATGCAGAAGCATATGTTCTCTTCTACAGGTAAGAAGAAATTAAAAGCACGATGATGTTCACGTTAGTCAAATACATAAATAACTTTTTACGCAATTGGGCCATTTTCATTCAGCTAAGGGAAGAATTTGACCAACCAGAAATAGTGGGGAGAGACTTCATCCTTCACTTATGTCCTTAACCCTTATCCTGTCACTATTGAACTTCTGGACAGATTGCTTGAGTTGATTGTTAGGTGTGAGAAGCACTTTTATTTTGTAATAGACTAAATAGGTCATTAGTGCTGTATAGCAGAAACGCTATAGAGCAACAAAAGAGTGGAAAACTGTCAAATTGTGAAGTTTGGTTTCAGTGTGTTCGGTTTGTTTTACTGGGGTGTTTTGATGTAACCGGTTACCGAGCAAAGTGGCTTCAATGTTCTTGAACATGTTTAGAACTTTAAGTGAAAATTCAGAAGTGGATCAGGGCTTTAATTATCTTCTGTCTGCATAAATAAAGCACAGTAAGATGACGAGGAAGAGAACTTTAAGCAACTGTTAGAACTGGCAGCAGATTGCCTCTTTTTCAATTAGAGGGAAGGAATTCTGTGCAAGGGTAGATTTTTTTCCACACAGACTCGAACTGTTAGAGCTCTGAAGGGAATTGTGGAAACTCTTCAGCAGATGGGATGTGGAACAACAGGGGTTTTACTGTGCTGTAATTTAACTACAGGGAATTTATGGGCTGATCTTTTCTTGAAAGTCAAAATGAAAGATGAGAAATCATGTTACCGTCTTAGGCCTAAGAATTTTTGGTACTTGCAAAGTATTTTAGTTGCATTTCTTGTTTCATTTTCTACAAATCTTTCGAATGCTGAATTTTTTCTACTAACAAAATTTGCTACTGAAAGCTGACTACAAAATAGATTGTGCTAGAATTAAAGAATAAGATGGGAGAATGTCTTAACTTTCATCAGGAGCACTCAGACTTGTCTGAGCTAAGCCGGTTAGTCTGATCCAGAAGGCCTTTTAAAGGGAATGTGGAAGTCGTGCTGTATTGCTAAGAACAAACACTGTACCTGATTGTAGGGAAGCATTTTAAAAGTAAAGAATAAAAGAATGGAACATTTAGTTTGGTTTAAACAAACAAAGAAGAAAAACCTCAAACATAACACACAACCATAGCTACCACACACAAAGCTGATGCTCTTTTAAGACTTTATGAAAATTTAGTGGGGATATGTAGGCATTTTTAATTACAGCTTGAAAAGGAACTTGAATTTTGTTTTCAAACTTAGGGTTTTTGTTAAATAAATTTGATCTGAAGTTAAACAGAGAATATTGTATTTTCCTTGAATTCATAGCATTTTTTTCCTACTCTTTTAGTATTGTTTTGCTATACTGTGTATTTACTGTATAGCCTTTGTTGCTATAGCCATTAGGCCTACTTGAAGCTTTTCTACCTAGCTATTTGAATCGACTTCAACTCCATAAATATACGATTTGTGCCAGTTAGAGTCAAATTTCAGGTTAGGGGTTTTGAAGGATGGTATGAATGGCCTGCTTTTGAAGAAGAGATCCTAACCAAACTAGGGAGTAGGGCAGCTGCAGCATCTCCTTTACTGTTCAACCTTCCTTTTGACGCTAAGGAGCGTGTCAGAGGACTACAGCTTGCAAAACTTCAGCCTTAAGGGTGTATGCTGCAGATGTGCAGAGGAAACTGGTAGATGGGCAGATTCCTCTGTGGAGAATCGCCACTGCAGTGTAGTTTGCAGTCTCTGTTGCAGTCCACCTGCTTGTTTTCTCAAGCTGACAGGAAGGATGAGAACTGGGAGTCTTTGAATTGTTGAACGAAGCAGGCAAAAGTTCTTTCTCGTAAACGTGATTACACCCACGCTATAGCTTTGTCAGAACTAAGGGCAAGCGTGAGTTCAGTGGAGCATAGTCTTCGTTGCCCTTCCCACTTTGTAGGAAGCTGTTAGTACTAACTCTTGTGGTGTGTAATTCTGTAACATGCAATAGTCTAGGTTTCTGTCATGCACGTGCAAGGTTCTGACATGCTAAACCAACTGTCGTACTGCTAGTAGAACTTTGAAGCATAGATGTGGCCCAGGTAACTTTATGAAAAGAAATCTGTACTTTCAGTAAGTAAATTGCCTGCGTACCACCCAAGGATATATCTTTGTTTGGTGATTTCTATTTCCGTAATAGGAAGAGCAGTGAAGAAGCACAGAGAGAAAGACGGAGGATATCAGGTCTACTGAATATGATGGAACCAAGCCTTCTGCAATTTTATGTTTCCAGACAGTGGTTAAATAAATTCAAGACTTTTGCAGAGCCAGGACCAATTTCAAATAACGATTTTCTCTGTATGCATGGAGGTGAGACTATAACAGAGTACCATTTACAAAGAATTTGCCTGTCAGCTCGCACCTGTACAGGGATGTATACCTGTACAGGGGGTACAAGGAATTAAAGTATAGTAAGTTTGGTACAGCCATTTATCCTTGGCTTCTAGGTAACTTATATTTTTCTTACTTTAGTAGCTGACCGTTTAGAAATATGTAAAGTCCTCCTAAATCCTGTCTTTTCTCTGCACATTTGCTTTTGTATATAAGCTTTCTTGATTCTTAGAGACAGACTATTTGTCTTATCTGTTTGCATACTAAAAATTTATATTCCTATTTAAAAAAAAAAAAAGCTGTAACTTTTTCATCCTTAATTTTTTTGTCTTTTAACTAATCTCAATCTTTGTTAGTCACGTGCTGAAAGCAACGGGGAGGTTTGAAAGGCACAAAACAAGAAATTGGTCTGATGGAGAATATTCAGTGCGTAGCAGTGTAGTAAATATAGGAGTAATTCTGTATGTTTTGTATAGGAGCATAGAAGTTGTACTTTGATATGCTAAATGCTAATAAAAATAGGAGAGAATTGCATGACAGCAAGACCTGTTTAGTGGAAGCATCCATATGAGTACTAACATTCGCAGCTACTATTATGTGGTATTCTCGTACTTGTTTTCTAATGTGAAATGCACTTGTATTACATTCACAGTTACAGGTACAGCACCTTCTGCTAAAATGAGCTTTAACAAAGGCATACTATACCCCTGTAGCTATTTGCAGCGTGTGTACATGTGATCCCTTGTTGCTGTCTTCCTTCTGTAGGGTTACTACAGATGAGTCATGTTATACGAGTGCCCTAGCTACTAGATATTCCTTTGCAAAAGTTTTTTTTGTGTGTAGCATGTAGCTGCTTACCATATGCTGTAACTCAGTGCTGCTAATTCTGCAAGCCTTTCTATTTCTTCCTCACTGTAAACTTTCAAGCATTCATCTGGCTTGAAGTAATTCAAAAATGCTGATAGAAATGAATGAATTTTGAGTACAACAGTTTAGTAAATCAGTGTTTTTACATGTATAAACAAAATCTTTCACCACTGTTTAACAAGTTCAATTGTATACCTTCAGAAGCATTTTGTAAATGGTATTTAGAAAAGATTCCAGTCTTCCATGTAGCTCCTTCAGCTGCTCTTATATTTTTTGGCCTCATAAGAGATTAAAATTAAAAAAGTCTCTTAAATACAGTGATGTAATACAGTAAAACTTTTTAGATGACTTTGAACTGGTCAGGGATTTATAATTTAGAGACCCCTAACACTCTCTCTCCCAACATTTCTTAAAGTGGAATTTGGTGGGGGGGGGGGGGGGGGGGGCCTCCTTTTATTTATTTATTTTTTCTTTTCCCCTGGTCTTCTGCTTTTGCAGGTGTTCCTCCACCCAAGGCAAATTTCATAGAAGACCTGGTTGTAATGCTACCTCAAAATATATGGGATAATCTGTATAGCAGGTAAGTTTCTACTGTAACTGGAAAAAAAGTCCTGTGATAGAGTTTGAGAGCAAATGTGTGCCAAGCAATGAGATCAGACTTTTGGGTTTAGTGGCTTTGAAAATATTTTCAAAGTACAGGTTTATATAGTTTGCTTGTGCAAAGTAGCACTAAATAAAAGCCTGCACAAACAGTAGTGTATTCCTGGGGTAATACTCAAGTATTAAATCCATAAATGTCGTTTAGGGTCTGTATGAAACAACACAAAGTAGGTCAGTGAAAGTATGCTTTGCAAGAGGTACTTTGAAAGAGCTCTCTGTATCAGCTTCCTGTTCCCTTGTTGGCTGGAGACAGCTTTTCTTGTATGCTGGCTTTGAATCCATAGCCTCAGCTGCCAGTAGTGCTTCAAAATAGCTTAGATATAAGTGTTCCATATAACTACTCCGCACTTCTGTGAGTCAGGTTTAAGTGCTTGCTTATATGGAGGGATTCCGGTAAAATGTATCTCCTTTTAAAGTAACAAAAAAGCAGCAGAAGAGCTTAGCTGTTGACTTTAAGGACTTTGTATTGCACTTGTAGCAACTATTTTTATCTCTTTAATTCCAGGTGCCCAAGCACTATAGCAATGATTTAAAAAAAAAAAAAAAAAAAAAAAGGCAGTTGCACTGTATTTCTTGTTTCCACTTTCCTGCATATACTGAATTTTCCTTCCAAATAATTATTATGTAACTATATCATACATAATGTGTATTATATATATTTATATCAATATATGAATATATAACTTAATGTTTTTGTATAGGTAATTAATCATAACACAAATATCTACATGTATTGAGTGAACTGCGTTATCCCTTATGTGTATACCAGAAGCATTTATCATTTATTACATCTGAAGGAATATAGTGTCTTTAAGACTCTCATTCATTTCCCTTCTCCATAAAACTTTTGAATAAGCTGCCACACTTCCGTCATATTTGATAGGTGGAAGTCCCAGAGATGGTGGAGAAGCGATACAATCACAAAATGTTTGTCCATTCTGTCTGGCCTCCTAACTGGCACAGGTGCACATCAGCATGGAGCAACCCTGTGTTGCTTTTTGTCTTGGTAATAGCTGGGAATCATGGGAGGGTGCCATGGTTGCAGTGGGTGAGCATTTAGGCTGGAGGAGCAAAGTATTGAGAGAAACAAGACAGCTGTGGCAGAAGTTGACTTTTACTGAGGTAGTAATAAGGAAAAGCAGATACTCGTGTAGGATGCTAAGCTCTATGAGTCCGAACTTTGTTATTTTGCCTGCTCATCTGGCAATATTCTTATTTTAATCAATTTTAATAGCTTTGGAGTCAAAATTGCTTCAAAGATCAAATGGTATAATCCACATTTGACCCATTTTGGTCAAAAACTTGTAGGCTGATCAGTGTAATTTAAAATTGTAACGTGATCTTCAAAGGTACAGTTGGTGTGTAGGAGATGGTAGGTGACCATTTTATGAAACATCATATAAAACATCAGTCTCAAGTTATGATGATTGAGTGTATACTAAAAAGCTTATGTGTACAAATGTAGTTGTACTGAAATAACTCTCTAATTTTCAGATGAAATACAACATTTCTGTATATGGGAAAACAATAGCGTCCCAAATTATTTTTATGGACTAATCAATATATAGTTCTAAGTTCTGATGTGTTCAGATTCAATGCCCTCTGTGGCAGATCTTAATTTAGATTTAGTCTCTAAGTAAACATGGTCACTTTTTCACTCTTGTTGAAAAACTATTCAGCTTTTGAACACTAATTCATCTCGTTACATTTGAGTGTCTTTTTTAATGTCTTATTTAAATTTTGGAATAAAATCTAGAGTTGTAGAAAAACAAATGAAAAGAGAGTACAACTCTGAGAATAAGTAATCAGCTAGGAAAGAGCACTAGGAATATCCTTATTTCATAATGTGTATTTCAACTTGAACTTTCTGCTGTAGTAAACAAGTCTCTTAGTGCGTGCTGTTAGTCATTGGGCATTTTCTTTGTTAGGCTTGTAGTTTCTAGGCCTGCCAATGTTCAGAATAAAGTCCATGTTACTGGGAAGCACAGGACTGTAGGTGTCATTCTGAACAAGGGCCCTAAAGAATTCCAGGTGTGCAGACTGCTGGCACAAGGAAAATGTGGTGGGTAGGGGCATGCAGAAGTAGGGTGGATTTTTTTGTTTGTTTGTTTTATGAACGAAAAAAAAACATTGAAATTTAGAGCTAGCTTTAAGATAGAACTGGCTGAAACATTTCCATAAGCTGTTCCTTGGAGGTGTTTAATAAATCACATGATATATAGGAGCGTTTATTTAGAATAATCACTGACCAACATATTTTTCCAGTATGTGATTATAGCAGGATTTTAGAGATGGGTTTGTACTGGCTTTGGGCAGTCAGAACTTGGAAGATCCTTATGTCTTAGGATCAAGTACAAAATATTACTAAGAAAATAGATGATGGCATATGTGGGTCAGTGCGATCAGCACTGGAATGCATCAGACTTCAATTACGTACTGTAAGAACCTGACAGTTGTTATATGTAACAGGTGCATGGTGGTTCTTGCATGCTATTTTCCATAAGGTTAATGTGTGTGGGGCTATGTTGTTTTTCTTTAACTCTCACTGCAGGTATGGAGGAGGACCAGCTGTTAATCATCTGTATGTTTGTCATACCTGCCAAGTAGAGTCTGAAAGAATTGAAAAAAGAAGGAAAAACGAATTGGAAATGTTTATTCGGGTAAAAAAGTAAACAAGTCCCATTCTGTGTTGACAACACCTGATATTCATGATTTGAGATTATGGGTTACCGTGTGCATAGGTGATTCACGTAACCAATAGACTTTAAAATATTGGTATACCAACGTAGAGTCACCTTTTTCCTGTTAGTAGCAACAGTGTCCTTGTGATGTCCTGGATAATTGTTTATGTGGAAACGTAGCTCAAGGGAATATTTTGCACGTTTATCATAATCTTTTGCTCTGGTTCTAATTTTGTACCTGTCGATATAAAATAACGTTACAGGTATAAACAAACAAATAGTTCAGTGTGAATTGAATATATTAATCTTGTAATAGAGCTGTAAAATTAAGCTCATGGAAAATACAGTAGCAGCTTGATATTAAGAGATGATGCACTTGGATCTGGTAAAATTGCTAGTATTATTGTTTTTTAATTCTTAAACCAAAGAATATGTTAAGAAGTTCTCAATCAAAGCAAAAGCAGGGCTACTGGTGTCCCATTTCTGCTATCTTAATTCATGAGTAGGAGAAAAATTCAGAGTTGCGAGTGTCATTTCGGTTTTGTGTGGTTAAATTGCATATCAGCGATTGTTTAAGCTTTTCCATGCTTAAACGGCTATTTGAACTTTTATTAGTGATTGCTTTTTCTTTAGTCTGGGTTACAATTGGATGGTAATTACCATTAGCAACACTGAATCAGCCTCATTTGTGTTAAAGATCAATATTTTCCCAGTATCAACAATGATTACAGGTGCGCTATTGTGGAGTATTCCCAGTTAGAAGACAGCAAATTGTTATTCCCTATACACATAGCTTTAGGGAATGACTGCAAAACTTATCCTATCTGAAACCTTAAGATGTTGTGTTGATGCTTTAGATTCCTGACCTCAAAGGGGAAATGACTGTATTTTCTTATAGATGCTTTTGATATTATTATTAAAGAGTTCATGAGGAAATAGTTTTAAAGGTTTAAGTGACCTGTTGCATGTTTCTTCATAATACTGTGAAAAAGTTTTGCATATTCCCCAACGTTTTATTACTCATGTAGCAAGCTATTCTTTTTTTTCTTTGTCTTCCTTCCATAGTCTCTGACCAAAAATAAAATGTTAAACTTCCTAAACCTTAATTAAAGGCCTTACTGGAGGATTTTTATAGAAATAGCTATTTTTTCCAATGATAGAAACAAGTTTAGTTAAATAGAACCGAGACTCTTTATTTAGCTGCTTTTTGTGATCTATACAGTCACTTGCATTGTCTTGTAGGAAAAAATCAAGTAACTAGGATGTGAATCTCTTAATTTAAAGCAATGGAAACAGAAGTCTTCCACGTTTTTAAACGAAAGCTGGAAGTCATAAAATCAGTCTTCCTCACTTGGAATCTTACTTTTTTTCTGCCCAAATTATTAGGGAAAAGCATAGATGAAGATGTAGTTCCTCATATAAAGAACTTGCCATCTAACAGTGGAGCAAATCTTCAAAACACTGGTTTATTTTATAAAAATATTATAAATAGTAAGCTTATTTTTATATTGAGTTTACACTCAAAAGTTCAGCATTCACAATAATTACCCAGTAGCGTTTGATGGATAAGCATTTATGCTTAAGGAGAGTGACCTGATTTTTTTTGCTTTAAATCAAGCTGTTTTGGTAAGGAGGAAATTCAATTCTGAAGTAAAGAACAAAATATATTTTTTAACTCGAAGCTGCCACTACATCAAAAACCTTACCTCAGGAGTCTACCAAAGGTTTACTGTTCTGATAATCTGAAGTTCTTTAAAATGTTTCGAAGCAATGTATTATTTAACCGCTCTATACTTAGAGTGGTTAAAACTATTTAGTAGCTTTAAAAAAAAAAAAAGGCAGAAAAACAAGTGTTCTTTTTCCTTGCAGCTGAATAGAGCATTCCAGGAAGAAGAATCTCCATCAACTTTTTACTGCATCAGCATGCAATGGTTCAGAGAATGGGAAGGATTTGTAAAGGGCAAAGACAGTGGTAAGTTGTGGTCCACATCAAGATATGGGTAATCTTCTTGTTGTCTCGTAGTAGGACTGTTTAAGTAAATTGCTTGTATGTTAGTAGAAGGGTGCAGGAGGAATAGCAAGACAACAGAAGCGCCTTAAAAACAAACAGAAAACCTACTAAAAAACGAAGACATAAGTTTCATAGGTTACAAATATATACAGAAATCAAATTACAGACTATAGCCAAAAGTGGATAATTCACGGGAATGGATGGTAGGATAGTTGTGAAAGTATGTTACTTGCTTGGGGAGGGGTGGTTTCAGGTTTATACAAAGCTTACTATTCTGAATCTTTCCAAAAGTGTTAGTAAACTTAAACACCAACTTCTGTAGAGAGCAGGGTCAGCTTTGAGCAGCAGCAGAAAAATGGAGTCCGGATATGAGGAAGTACGCATTACGCAGTACAAACTGACTGATAACACTGTAGTCTCTGGGGGAAAGGGGAACTCACTGATACAACTTAGACTCACAGACCACTGTAATCGCATCACTATTAGCCTCCTTTTGGTGCACATAAAGTTTTGAAACGGAAATACGGACAATGTTATATAGTCCTATTTGAGTCTGCTCCGGGACAGTGTGGCTGGAGGTGAGAATTAGGATTAGTTTGCATTTTACATTCATGATTACAGTAAGCCTTCAAGCAATGCTTGGAAAACCTGCGTTTAATTAAAATTCTGATTAGCTTTTAACAACTTAGAACATATTGCTGAGCCGTACAATAACAAGCAAGAAGAAAACCAGCTATTTCTCCTTTAATTTAAAAATTGAACCTCCAGACTGCTGTTTATTGTCACTCTCCCATTTTAATCAGTCTTTCTGTCGCTCTAGATCCTCCTGGTCCTATTGATAATGCCAAGATTGCGGTCACAAAATGTGGAAATGTTGTACTAAAGCAAGGTAGGCGTCTGATACTGCTGCAGCTTTGGATTCCTAATGATGTATTTGGTGAAGTTGGGAAAATGTTTTTTTAAATTTTTATCTTAACAGCTATTGTAAAATGGCAATTCTTGGGGAATCTATGCTGTGTTCTATTCTAATTAAGAAAAATCTTAATACTAAATTTGGAGGAGAAACTGAAGAACTAGTTGTTCAAAGGCCTATATTGGGATGCCAGCTTATTCATAAAATCATGAATTAGTTCTATAGTAAATAGATAATCAAGTGCAGATAAGAGTAGAAAGCTGTGCAGAGTATCTTTTGGTTTTTAGGCTCTGTTCTGTATCTCTGTATTAAGTTATTTGAATCTTGAAACCTAATTTGAACTGAGAGCTACTTATTTCCCTTCTGACAGAGGGAAATAAACTACAGAGTAAATGCTGTTTCTCATTTTTCTGCAAGTTATTTACTACTGTATATTGCAAAAACTTTTCTAGCATACAAAGATTTATTTATTATTCTTCATAGTCAGATGCTTAATAATATTCATTTGAATTTTATGTGTAGAGAGAAAAGCTAAGTTTTCTAACATAGCTTGCTCTACAAAGATTTTTGGATTACCTATGAGAACATCATGTGACTGTTTCATTTCATTGTAGCTCATCTTTGTGTGTTTTGTGTCTGGGGGGGGGGGGGGGGGGGGGAATGCACTGTTAGGGTTAATCTTTATTTGTTAACTGGATTTTTTCCACAGTGAAACTTAATGCCTCAGCATACAGTGGACCTACCAATGGCAGTTCACTGAAGGCTGCTAGCTCCTGGGTGAATCTTACCAGCTGTAAAATGTTAAGGGCAGTTAAAAAACAAAAACAAAAAAACCCACACCCTTGCTCCCATCAGTGAATGTGCCAGTGCATTTTAAAGATTTAAGCTGTAACACAGGAATCAAATACAGGTTATGAGGCATCTGACTGAAGTATAGCAACAAAAAAATTCAGCTTAAAATCTGTACCAGCTAGTTTTACCTTCAGCTGTATTGATTCAAATTAGGAGATAAGTAGAAATTAAGAGGAAGAGGTTGTGGAAATACTTTTCTCTCTTCCTGACTGAAGAGGTTAGAGCACCACTAAGTAGTGTGTTGCGTATCTTTGATCCAGTGGTCCTGATCCCAGGGTGATAGTTCACTGTGCTTGTTCAGTTACACGTGACCATTAGAAGAGCTAGAAGCTGGATGAGGGGATGAAGATCTGCTCCTGTGCCTGCTGGAATGGAGTCAGTTGCATTTTTAAGTACAGCACTGAACCTAAACATTTGTTTACTGAGGCATAACTTTATTAATTCTGACTCAGTGCATCCTTACTTCCAGATGAAGCTTTGCATGGTTGACTTAGCGTGGGTAAACAAATGTGTAACCTTTTGTACCCTTCTTTGGAAACATTTTATACATAAAGTAGGGTAGTAGGTCCACTACTGCAGGTGGTGAAGCTAGAAAATGGTGAGCGTATATGGAAAAGTCCCCTTGATTTAGCTTTTTTTTTTTTTTTTTTTTTTGAAATGGAGGTTACTGCAATTAAACTTAATGAAACAGATTAAGAGTAATTTCTAATGAAAGGATATCGGGAGAAATTTCCTGTAGGCAGGTTTTCAATCAGTTACTTAAGACGGAGGAGTCCTATTCAGATAGAGTAGAAAGCTGTCCTCCATACCTAGGCTAAGAAAGCCTGGCTTCAACTGTATCAGACAGAATCCTTGTATTAAAACCTAAGAGTGGTGATATGCTGAGGTTCCCCTGTGTATAGACACACAAAGATTGAAGGGTTCCTGAAAATCAGAAGTGATTATTGGATGCTGATCTAAGACAAAAGACCTCTAGCAAGAGGAATGGATTATAAACAAAGACTTTAATGAATGCACAGAAAACTCAGGCTGATTCATCAGTGCCACGTATGAGGAGCATTATTGGGGCAGTCCTGATAGTCTCTTCCATCTGGGGTTCTGAGAATTCCAGTATGGTTCCTGCTTTTTCATTCTTTACTGTAAATCTTTAATTTTTCTCATTAAGCAAGAATCTTGAGCTCTTAACCTTTACAGTGTAATTGGTGGGACTGGATGTCCTTACATAATATGAATCCTTGCTCCCTTTGCATACCAAGAAGCAGCCCCACAAATGCAACACTTGCCAGCTGTCAGCTTAGTGAATAGGTGTCAGACAAGATGTTTATGTTAAGACTTTATACGTGTTTATGATTGAGCTCTGCTAAGTATTGGATAGTTTAGAGAGGAGGGAGCTGTAGAATCAAGAAGTATAAAGCTAACGTGTGTCATCAGGTTTGGTAGTTAGTGCAAGATAAAGCACCAATTTGGAGTAAGGTATTAAATTTGTCTGAGTATTTTGTTCTTTCTACCTGTTATGGACTTCAAAGAAATCATGAAATAATTGTAAGTAGTAATTAAAACTTTAAAAATGTTTTCAGGTGCAGATTCTGGACAGATATCTGAAGAAACATGGAATTTTCTTCAGTCAATCTATGGTGGAGGTCCAGAGATTATACTCAGACCACCTGTTCCTCCAGTAGACCCTGATATCTTGCAGACAGAGGAGAAGATTGAATTAGAAACTCATGGTCTGTAGCTATTGAGATCAAGATGAATGTGTAAGGAATTCAGCTTCCTTACAGAATGCCCGATACATTCCTGAAAGTTTTATTCTCTGATGTTTGTAGGAGGCGAAGCTCACTGGGCATTATGTAAACTAAAGAATAATAAGTTGAAATATGTATTACAATTTGTTTAAATAGAGGCTTGTTTCTCTGTTTTGGAAGGCATGTGGTTTGTACATTTTGGATTGTTTGGTCAACGGAAAACAATGTCATTTCTGGACCTTGGTGTAACTCAAAATCCTGTAGTAACCTTAGACTTAAATTGGAGCAAAATTTTAGAGATGTCATAAAATAACTTTCTTGATTCCTGATCGGACTTCTGACATCTACAAACTGCTGCCTGTTTTAATTGTACAGTTTTGACAAGCCTAGGTATACGGGGAGTATATTTTAAATGGATCACAATCATTGATTTAATAAAAAGGAGGAGGAAAAAATAACTTCCTAAATGCTCAGGAAAAAATTGTCTTGCTTTTTTTGCACTGTAAGTACATAAAACTAGTGGTATATAACCTCCAAATACTTTTTGTTTTTGAATAGATCAAACATTAGTCTAGATGGAATATTGTTTTAGTCAGCAAATGTCATAATTTATTACCTACTAAATTTTGCATCTTATAGGCTTCTGTAACTCTATAAGCCTGGCTAGTATCTTTAATAATATCTGTGACAAAAGATTTTAGTCTTCTCTAGGGTGGTGTTTGAGAGCATGAAGTGTGAAATGTAAAATGATTGTGGATGTGAGTGGTATAAATTTGAGAAATTAAATTGTCTGGTCTCCTGAATTATATTCACAGAGCAGTTCCTTTTGAAGGATTATATTGTATTGCTAAAAATAGGCAGTGGCATGATGACCTACGATGTCAGAAGCTGGATGAAATATATATATATATATATATATATAGCAAAACTTTACTGAATGGTTCATGTTGAAATGCAGCATGGCATTTGCTCTTGTTTTTGCCTGATATTGTTACCAAATAAGCAGCATTATTCAAGGCTGGATCAATAAAATAAAAATAAAAATAAACCCTTCAATTGTGGAAGGAGGGAGAAAGCTTTCTTAAATGTTTTTCACTTATTACATCAATACAAAACCTTTCAAAGCAATACTGTGATACTGCTTTCACACCTATATAAGTGTATTCCTTGACTGCTTTACATTTAGGCAATGATGTTGACAATTCTAGCTCCAAAGCAAGCAAATGTTGAGACAACATTCTTCTGGATAATTTTATATATAGTATAAAACAAACCATTTTTGTGCTTTGTAAAGCACTTAAAGTCATTCTGGTTAAAGATCCATATATAATATTCCTAGATGGTGTCCTGTAATCTGAAGTACTTGACCCTGTTACTAACGTGCCACATAGCAGGAGCCGGTTCTGTCTGAGTAGCTAAAAATCCCAATATTTTAGCTGAGAAGAGCTAGAGCAAGGAACAAAAGGAACTAAGCTAGGTTTGTAATGTGTCTTACCTTTGATCCTCTTAACTCATCACCTTTACTTTGTCGATAATCTGATACCATTTAGTATTTCTCTGTAGTTCTTGTAGCATTCGTTGAGCTAAACCAAACTTATGTTCCTATTTCAGATGACACAGCCTATAAAAACCACATATAAAATACATTGTACTTCAGCATTTTGCTTTGCTATAAGTTGCTTTCATGAGGTAAGCTGGAGTCTAATAGGATTGCATCTTGTACCCTTTTTTGGCCTCTAAGTCCAGTAAGAAAAAACTGAAAGAGTAGGCGACTTGCACTTTCCAGGCTGCAACTATGTAAGTTAAGTCATATATAAAGGTAACTTAATCTCAGTTGGGGGCACATTGGCTTAAAATGGAGGTAGGTACAGAGGAGAGAGCTCTGGAGAGATTTGGAAAAAGAATACTAGCAGTCTTGTATATAGATCGTGTGGGGCTCAAAAACCAGAAAGGAGATTGATGGAATGCCCTTTTCATCCCCAAGTAAGGCCTAGGAATCGAGAGAAATGTGAGGAATCTGTCCTAAGTAAATGAGGCTTGCATTGAACTAAAGAAAAATTAATCTTTTTTGTAATCGTAAATGTTAGGTAGAAGATGAATAAAGCAGCACAGATGGGAGGAAACCAACAGCAATACGAAGCCAATAATTAAATGAATAAGGAAAAAATTACTCAGTTTTAAATTCACAGGTAACTCTTGCCCAGTTTGTTAATTTTCTGAACTTGTGTGTTTCTCCTTAAATGCTAAAGAGTTCTAAAGGTCTTGGGATAGCTGCAACTGAGAAGCCTTGCTCATACACAGGAGTAACTCTAAAGGAACACCAAGCAGAGCCCTTAACTATCTGACCATGCATTTCTACAATTTTATATTAGTAGATAAGGTACGTTGAGGTTAATACCAAGTTTCCCCCGTTATGTATACGGTAAACAAACATATCTGTTAAACTACAAAGTTATCTCACTGTTTAACTTGCTTATGAATGTTCGATAGTAACTTGCTGACCTTGGCCTATGGGAGATGCTTCTAGCTTCCCATCTCTGTTTTTTTTGTCTTTTTTTTTTTTTTTCCTTTTATTAGGATGACTAAATTCAAACCTGGGTCTATACTATCTAGGCTTAACTTGTTCTTTGCTAAGCTTTTATCTGAGTTAAGCTATTTTTAAGGTTGTTAATATGTTTGGCTAAAAATCTACTAATAGCTCCGTTTACTTTAGGAATAATTTTCCCTATGTGATGTTCTTAATTGGAAATTTGAGAAATACATTCTTGGTTAAATCACTGTATGGTGATTAAGTTTACTATCTTATTTAATATTTCCATTAATCAGGATGGTAGAACAGAGTGCACTTATGTTTTTAAAAAAAAAAAAACAACAATTTGTAAGAGAAAAAAGGATTGAGTGTTGGATATCAGTTTTTTAGCGGAATGAAGCAGTTCTGGGTATTATAGCAGATCAGACTAAGAGTTAAAATCTGATTAAAAAATTGTTCTGGGTAATAGTAACAAAAGCATCAGATGTAAGGCACAGGAGGTAATTATTATGCTCTACTTGGTGCTGTACTTGGTGGTGAGATCTCATCTGTATTGTTCGCAATTTTGGATACTATATGGTGATAAATACAAGTTGGGAGGAGAGTATTTCAGAGGTAAAAACAAAGAAAACTCGGAAGTTACCTAGCTTAAAAGAATGTTGAAGGAAGATGCAAGACTTCTACTGTGGAAACAATTGCTGGATGATAGTGAACAATTTTTTTTGTAGAAAAACAGGACTATTTGCCTAAATATTAGCAGTGATGACATGTACTGGATATTAGGTAGCCTCTTAGAAGTTTTCTGCTCTCAGTTCTGTAGAAATTTTTTCACTGGATGTCTGGGAATTCATAGTGAAACATAAATTGTGATGCATGTACACAAGCCACTTTGAACTAGCAGTCATGAAATACCTCTGTTACCTTCAGTAGCAGGCATCTTCCCACTGCAGCTGTTTGTCATGCTAAAAAAGAAAAAAAAAAAAATCCCTGAGTCTGCAGAGATGAAATAGATGCATTTGTGCCCAAGTAAGAGAGTTCCAGATGGATGACTTCTCTATTTTACTTTTAACCCTTTGAGAATTCTGTAAGAGACTTTATGCCATGGAAGTGAAAGAAGCCTGTTCAAAATAAGACAGTTTGGGAGAATGCCAGATAGATCTCTTGCATATATTAGAGGGAAGGCAGCGCTTCAGAGTATAGGTACAGAAGAAACCCTTGCTGTGAAGAGAGCTCTGATTCATAGCAGAGCAGGAACGTGTTGCAGGAAGGAATTACCTTTTTTTCCTGGAAGTTTTTAACCAATTTTCTTGGGTTCTTTGTCCATTTGTTTCCAGTTGAGGAAACAAGGCAGTGTGTTTAGATGCCAGGGAAGCCGTCGTTTCAAGAAGAGGAAAATTCAGAAGGGTCCTGGTTCCAGGTCTGGGAATCTAGATGTGGGCTACTAAAAAAAAAGTATTGTTCAGTCTGGTAATGTTGGTGCTCTCTTCTGAAGAAACTAGCTTATGAGCTCTTAGTTTGATTTCTAAATTGTTCGAGCTTTTTTTGCAAATAGTATAACTAATTCTTCATCTGAACCCCCTTTCCCACACCCTCACCCTCCCCCCAGCCCCAGCATCCAGAAGACTGCTTCGAGTACTGTGTGATGTAGCTGAAAACTGGGGAAAACTAGCTGAAGAGCTATTAAATTAGTTACTGGCAAAATAAGGCACTCTCGCAATATGCTTCGGAGGTGAGAGGTAAGTAGCTCCCCTGCTTAATGAAGCAAATAAAAACAACCTGCTTGCTAGCTATCAAATTATTCCATGTTGTTATTGACTCAAAAGACTAGTCTTTTCCTTTCCTGTCGCAGGAACACTAGGAAACGAAGGAAATTTTGAGGACAGTTGTATGTGATTCAGATTAGGTGGGCCAGAAAGCTTTCTGCAAGCTTTTCTTGTCTCTGCAAGTAGAATCTAAACTATTCTTGTGTCTAGGGATAAATATAAATGCACATAACCTATTTCTCCTCTTTCTTAATTGAGCTATGGCTGGAGACACTAAAATAATTATTTTAAGTTCTATGTAGGAATAATGATCTTGAGTAGATGGATCAGATAGGGTTTTTTGTTTTGTTTCAAATAGATAAAGGACACTTCAGTTGAATGCAGTAACGGGTGTCAGTCTTCTGTCAGTAATAACCTGGAAGTTTGCTAGGTAAGTTAGAGACCTCATATGCTGTTCAATAATTGTACCAAAACAGGATTAAAAAAAGAGGAGGCAGGGCAAGAGCCACTTTTACTAATTTATATCAGAAAAACTCAGAATCTGTTTTTATAACTCTGCATATTTTATTTGAATAGTATTGTTATTGCCAGCTGTTGAGCTGCTCAAATGCAGCAAAAACTTTTTAAGGTATCATCTTTATATCTAGTTGATAAAATCTGCTGTAGGGTAAGGTCTCTAATGTGACACTACAAATCTGCCAAATCTGATTTTGAAGGAGAAGTGCCATAGCCATTGCCACGCATGTCCGTAACACTGGTAAGGAGTTCTTGCGTTTGAATTGTACTGCTGTCTAGGCTGTGATTTGCAAACCTACCAAATACACTGGGGTCAATGGAAGCTAATCTATTTAGTATGCGTGTACATATATGCGCGTGTGTGTATAGATACATATATATATATATATATATGTACACATATATAGATAGATAGGTAGAAAGAGATATGTATTTTTAAAAATTTAAGTCAGTTCTTTATCCTGATGATACTATACTTTATCTGGAATTTCTCCTCTATTTAGGTTTGCCTGGGAGTTGCGCAGTCATATTATAATGCTTATCTGCTCTACTGACAGAGCTATGCTGATAGGAATGAACTTCTGACCAAGCTATCGAAGTAGAGATGTAAGAAGACTGGAGCCAGCAAGTTGTAGTCCATTAGTCCCTGAGTTTGAAGGCTAGATGATAATGTACTTTTAGAAATCTGTCCCCTTTCAGTAGAGTTAGACTCGGTGATATCTAAAAGAACTCTTATTTAAAGGCTTTTATATATTTGTAAGATCTCATATTTTGGTAAAGACAACCCTTACGAGTAGGATTATTTTATATAAGTAGCTATTGATTTAGCAGTGTGTCCCCCTGACTGTGGGACGCTGCATGAAAAGTTAGAAATACGTTTGGCTGTAAAATCTATTAGGCTGATGAAATAGCTTTCATTTGTGAAGCAGAAGTTAGTTAAGTATGCTCATCTAGGCCTGACTTTTTATTGTGAAATCTGGTGTAATTTGCTCTACTAATGCATTATGCTAATGTGCTAATCCTTCTTAAATTCAAAATTATTTTGTGGGGGGCGGTGGGGTTGTAATACAAGATATCCTAGGTTTCCTTAAAACTAAAACTTGGTCTAAAGCGAAGAAGTTTCTTTTGCGTTAGTATTATAGATGTTTTTTCATAATGATAGTGCTAACGTTTGATTTTTTTTTTTTTCTTCTTTTTTTCCTTAGATGTACTGTTATTAATCATGTAAGCTCATTTGGAAAAGTAAACCAGAGATTGGGAAAATTTGCAGGAGAACTTAACGATTATCTGTTTAAAGGGGCAAGCAGATTCTTCACATTTGCCGTACACGTCTCTTATACTGAACTAAGAAAATTCCGTTCCATTTATTCTTTTTCAATTCCCTATATACATCTGGCTTAATGCAGTCTAAGCAGTTTTCTCACTGAAAACCTTTCAGCTCTTCATTTTACCCAGGAAATGAGTAAAACAACTAGGCTTTTTTATTCTTCCAAACAGATGGCTTTTCTGGCTTCCCTCTATACTTGAGCCATCCAGAGCTAACAATTAGTAGCAGGAAGCAAAATAGATTCTAGATTTCTGAAGTGTCACAAAACAAAACAAATCACTTTCAGCATTATTTCACAGAAATTGTCTGGCTGCAAACAAACTTGGTTCATATTAGCCTTAAAAATCTTAGCAGATTAGAAAATAGCCTCATCAGTGACAAATTTTCAAAGGGCTATTCTTACCAGCAGTGGAAAGTATAACTTGTTTTCTTGAATATGTAATGCATATTGCTGTTTAAAACATGTCATTCAAAAAGGTGATGTGGCTTTGCTGGCATTGAAAAAATGTTAGGACTAAGCACTGCCAAACAATAAGGTAAAACATCATCTGTTTATAACACATTTAATATTAGATACTTGCTTACAATATCTGTCCTACACATTTTTCACTGGAGGTTGATATCTCTTATTGTATCACAAAACTTTTCTCCCTTCCTAAATGTGTGACAGCTGTGACATGTAGATAGTAAAAAGTTCGTTTGCAAGAAACACTGATGTCTGATAAGTTTTATGGATTCTTAGTAATGCCAAGTCACTTTGACCACAGGTTTCCTCGTAAAGGTCATAGATGGGTAGATGTGCAGACCTTGGAAAATGCAACGTGAATTTGATCCCTCAAATAGGAAGTTAGAGGTGTTAGGAATAGACTGGATGTTCCCACAGCTTTGTTTTGCCTCTCTGTCGCTATTGAATTTCAATCACTTTTCTTATTGATTTGGTTATTTTTTCAGCACGATTAGAGGTGCAAAATTAAGTAGTTGCTATCCTCAACATGTCTTTGTAATATAAAAGAAGTTTAGAAGACTTAATATACTCAATATACTTAATATACTTAAGAAACATGTAAGTGCAACAAATATTTATCACTTCCAGAGATGTTCCTCCTTTCTCCCTTGAAACTCCCGAAGAATGTATTATTTATTAAGAATTTTAATTCCATTTTTGGAATAACTTACCACATGAGAAAGTAAATATTGAAGTACCAGGCTGAGAAGAGTAAAGAGGGCAGAGGAGAAGAGACATTGATTTTTATAAATAAGAAAAATCTTAGCTGAAAATAATAGACAGCTGTCAAAAAAAAAAACTTTCTTGTGTTTCATCTCAAAGGAAAATGCTAATACTTTTTTGTGAACAGTTTTGCCCAGAAGTGAACGTTTTTCTAGGTGATTAATTTTGTTCTATCCTGTGTATGTTTGTGTAATGTACATGCTAAAATGAGACGTCCTGGTTACCATAGTGATGCATTGCTTTTTTTTTTTTTCCCCCCTTTGTCCCCCCTTCTGTGTCCGTTAAAATGCTAAATCCAGAAGAACAGGGATGCAGCCTTTGCTCATGCTCTGAATGCATGTTTGTTTCCAAGAAGGAGCACACCTTCTCTATAGGACCAAAAGTAAGATTCTTTTAATGAGATTTTCAGGTATAATGAAAGGAATGCATTAACACGTGCCAAAATGCTAATTTATTGGCAACATTAATTCAGTTAAAAAATATTTCCCATTATATTTCTAGTCTAGCAATAAATGCGTATAATTAGACTAATTTTACAATGTAACTGTGCAAGCAATAAGCAAGCTATTTTTCAGCTATGAACTCTTCTATGGTGTCTCATCCTCCTAATAATTTTTAGTAAGGGGAACACGTTCTCTCTTAACTTTTTGTTTTGTTTGCAGTGTAATTCATTTGCTTTCCAACCAAGCAGTGTAGAAGAGGTAATTTTTCTCTAAAACCAGATCAGTAATGATCTGAACTTCATGTCTGACGTTGACTTTAAAGTCCCCGGTGCAGAGACTAGTCTTCCGGGGCTCTTTCTGTAGATACTGAAAAGATTAAGGTAATTCAGAGCAGGAACCTAGAAAGCGCTTCAAGCCTCCTAGATACAGAAGATGTATCTATCTGTTGATAAGCTTTTCTGCTTACACAATTCATTTAAATCTGGAAAGTGCCTACCCTCCAGTCTAGATTTCTAGTCCTGAGCAAGGATCCCTGCTTTTTGAAATTGAACTGTCCAGTGGTGCTAGTGTCCACTCCTACATGGTGGTAGTTCAGATTTTTACTTAAACCTATCTTTCACCCCTCTCGTAGAGGGCCCTCATCCCAGAATAGAGGCTTGGCTTTAGGGAACTTTTTCTGTTTAGAAATAATGTGCCTCAGAGCTAGCCAGACTTGGAGACATCTTGGAGACTTCTAACCTCTTTTTTCCTTTTTTTTTGTTTTTTGTTTTGTTTTGAACACATCGTATGCTGTTCAGTTTCTGAGTAAAAACAGAGCCCTCTCTTGTGGTCTAGGACCTGAAGGAATATACAAGGTAGTCAAAACCATAACAGGGAGATTCCATGACCTGACACATCTTTAGGTAGGTTGTGAACACAATCTAATGTGTTATTGCAGAACCACTAATACCTGACAGTGCTCCATACATATAACAAGTTTCTAAAGGAGAGGGGAAAGGATAAAAAATGACTTCGGATAGGAATTTATAATGCTTGTAAGGAGTAAAACTGCTAGAGTAACTTAACTAACTATAAAAGTCAAAAATGTTGAGAGCCAGATATCAGAGGCTGTTATTTTATGGAAGTCTGAGTCAAATATTAAACACTAGAGAAATAACATAGTCTAATGAGTTCTAAACTGGAATATTTTTAATAATGCATTCCATTCTAGCTAGCATTTCCTATCTGCCTGATTCGGAAGCCTCTACTGAAATTAGCAACAGCAATTTAAAGCAGAATATTTCATGAGCAAGGGGGTGTTTGTACTTTTTTTACTGAATGTAGTCTAATGAATTTAATTCCTATGAAAAACATATATCAGTTTTACTTAATTGTAAACTTAACTGCAGCTTTTTATTTTTACATCTATTTGAATTAGATGACCCCAACTTTAAGTATACAGGCACAAAATGGAAATAAATTAATAGCTTCCTAAATCTGGTTCACTTTTGTAATTGGCAGCTTGCTTTTGGATGACATATTATAGAACATTTTAATTACTTAAGGTGAATAGGCCGTGTGGGTTTTAAGACTCCTAAATTGTCTAATGTATGCATACTGTAATATATCAGTGATTGGAGACTGTTCTATTTAACAGTTAAAGCTATTTTCCTCTTTCTCACGTTTTTTTAAACTCTAGTTTAAATTGTTCCCACAAAACAGCCATAAAACCAGGTGTTCTGAATTTATGGCTGGTATGGATTTTTAGCAGACAGTAGACCAGATGTCAGTTCATAATCCTGAATGTGTAATTTACCATGATTACATTTTTTTTCAATCGCTATTTTAGTAATTTGCTTTTTACTGATTTGTGACATGGTGATTTGCATAACTACTATAAAGGCTCTGTCCAAGTATTATTTGAAATAATGGAAACAGTAACAAAATACATGTTCTTAATAATAGATTACTGAATTGATAATACTGTAAACTCAAAGTTCTGGCAAAAAGCCTGTGCAATTGCTGTGAATTAGCAACCGTAGCCACAACTTTAAGGCATTTTGCTTTAGGTGAAAACATTGGAAAATGTGGTGGTGTTGAAATTAACAGAAATCTAGCCTTTCTTGGGTTTGTTCTTTACATCTGGTAGCACCAATGAAAGAAAATGTTTAGGACTTTCCAGGGAATGCAGCAGGCAGAAACGGGTAGCAAAACAGAGGACTTGTAACAAAGAAAACAAGGGGTGATTCCACATAAGGATGCATAGTTAAGGAAAAATAGTCTTTTTCTGTAATACTGTTTAAAAAGTTATCTTAACTAAAATTTCCCTTTTATAACTTGAAGCTATTTTCTGTAACTGTCTTGTGGGGAATTTTCTTAAGAATTTAACTTCCCAACCCCCCGACATACTATAAATACAAAATCAAAAAAAACCTAAAAACTATCCACAAACAATTTCTTAAGATGGTAAATTAATTAGTGCAGAGATTTCTGGGTGTTGTGCTGAGCCAAGTTCAGTCCAGGATGGTTTATTAGCTTTGGGTATTCCTGTGGAAGTTGAACCTACTGAACCGCAGCTGGCTTCGTCTCTCTGCTCTCTTCCAGCACTTCTGTGCAGCCACTGCACAAAACAGCCAGTCCAGTACAGCTGGCCTTGAGTCAGAACAAATAAGCCTGAGCTGAATTCTGGAGGAGAATTCGGCTATACTTTTCCTTGTCCTGCTGGGCAAAGCTATCTGGGATAGCTTTATTAAGAGCTAGGAGCTAACCTGGATGTCCTTAGGATCGACTTTTCAATTGTGTTCAATCCATGAAGAGTTTTTTTTTTTTTTTCAGTCTTACCAGGGGAAAAAAAAAAAAATCACACGTTTGACTTGCTCTGGTAAAGTGCTACTTCAGACTAAGCAGGAGGAGCAATTAAGCTATTCCATGGATTGAAATAGCTATAAACAAGGACGCTACGACTGAGAGCAAAAGCCTTGTAACAGAGCTTCATTGAAGCTGGGCCTTGTGGTCTTAGGCAGTTCTCTATGTGCAAACACGGGCTAGGAGTTTGTTTTAGCAAAGTGGAGGGGTATAAAACATCTGTCAGCTCATGATTTTGTGGCAAGTAGTGATGGAGGGAGGTGTTGATTTGTTATTTGTTTTTATCCTGTCCCATTATAACATGATGAAAGGCTGTCATTGAGTCCATTTTCCCTGGATAGGAATAGTTCTTTGCTGCCAACAGCGATGAAGCTAGAAAAATGGTTATTGCCCAGTAAATTACTTGAGGTTGCCCTTAATAAACGTGTCTACCAATTGTTTACAACAAGGTGGGAGGTGTAGCATAGAAACGGGCTGCCATCGGAGTCAGGAATATGGTATAGTTTGGGTAGGGTACGTGAGGAGCAATGGAGACTGAAAGTGTTAGGGAAAACATGGTGCTGCTAGGCAGAAGGTGTAATTAGGAATTATTCAGAAGCTACTGCAGGATACTGTGCGGAAGGGACTGCAGGATACTGATGGGTTGAGGAAGATTTGAACTATGGAGACAGCAGAGTGGAAGAGCCATGTCCGACCAGCTTCAAACAGAGCAAGTTTCACAAGGTTTAAATGTAAAATCCCTTGGGTGGAGGTCTCATAGTAATCCTGCTTAATCTCAGTCATTTCTATGCATGGACAGCTGCTTCTGCTACCCTGTGGATAAATGACTGTGGATGCATGACTGCTGGATTCAGTCCAGGGGAAGCAGGGGGGCATGTAGAGGTGGGGCAAGAGTGTTGAGAGTGTCCCTTTCATTAGCAGGAAGCACTACCTGAAACAGCACACGGTCAACAGTTGCTCTTTGTTGCTCTGTCATCCCCTCACTAGACATTGTACTTCTTAAGCAAGATGGCAGAACATAATATTTAAGAACTGAGTGAATTAAAGGCAAATCCTGGTCTAGGGTGTGGTTAGACAATATGGTTGGACTGGTTTCATTCCAGCTGCCAAAACGGTGCTGCTGCCAAAAGAAGGTAGTCCTACTCCTCCCCTCTACTGGCGCCACCTTCTCCTCCGCTTTTCACATGCTGGCTCCCTTGCCTGACTGGGTCGTGAGCCAACACAGCTTATTTTCTAGTTGAGAACCAATCCGCCATGAATGGGAACAGTTTCTTAGTGGTTTAGGAAGTCTAACTGGCTTACCACATGTTCAGATGAGCGCAGGAACAGGCAGAGGGGAAGTTGTGGGACTCCATGGCTGGGAGTAGGGGGAGTGAGTGGTGGCCAGTACAGCTCAGCTGCGTTGCTCGACTGCACCCTTAGACCGCCATGGGAATTTGTCTGAACAAAACCAATGGATGTTGTACCGAAGCAGCTGAGAAAAACCCTCAGTTCTACTGCGAAAGCACTAACGCTTGGCTGAAATGCAGTAACATCTGAAACAACTGCAGCTGTTTGCTAAGTGAACAGATTTCTAAATTAATTAAAATTCACAAATTTTTTTAGTGCTTACAGGTGCTGCTGCAATAATACAAGAAGCTCCATTACTCTTTCAGACTTGGGCACACGGACAGAACGCTGCATGAGAACAGTGGCACAGATTCAAGGAAAAATTTTCCTTCCCTCTCTTGTGGGATTTCTGTTGTTTTGAATCTGATCACAGGAGAAGAGTTCCAAGTCAGCAAGAAGGAGGGAAAAGTGAGAAATGCTTGGGAAAATTGAAATGCTGCTGAGGATTTAGGCAAAGGACACAGTCTAGGAGAGCAGAATGAAAGTGTGTATAACCAGCAATTTCCACAGTTACGATTTTATTAAAACTGCTCTTGTTACTCTATTGTAACTAAACTGACTTGTATACTTACAAATAGGGAATAACCACTTTAAAGAAATTGATGTAAAATGCTTTAACTAGTCTTTTGTTAAAGAGAGTGTCCATGTTAGGATTTTTCGACAATTTGCAAAGTTAATGTTTCTTAAATGGGAAAGTTTTGAATTCCCTAGAAATTCTATAGAAAACCCGAGTTGTGTGTGTTTCTTGGCTACCTCCTCCTTTTCCAGATGCCTTGTAACTGTGATATAGCAGGAAAAAACAATGCTAGCTTACTAGCATAGTAAGAGATGCATAGTAGTTCCTCTCCCTCTGTAGGAGGGCAGAGGTAAATGAAATCTCTTTGAGCAAACTGTGCATTAAATGGCAACTTGCGGAGATGACGTGCATGTTTGCAGAGAACTAGGAGGCTACCTAAAATAGAGATTTGAAGTCACGCTGCTTTATTTTCGTTAGTCGTGCCGTGGAGGGCTGGCGCGTCCCACGCTGCCCGCTCCTGAGGCAGCGCTCACACCGCCCATGCCGGAGCACGGGGAAGCGGGCGGCAGCC